TATATTTATATGCTCGCAATATCTATTTTAATGACCAACCTAATCTGGATGTTCATGCAGTTATGGAAGATTCAGTCAATGTTTCCCCAGCCCGGGTGGCTTTCTGATACATGAATGCAACTGTTTTGCAGATAGTACGAACGTGGGACTTTGAATATTTACATATTTAAAACACTTGTTTATCCTTACATTTTTAATAGCTTCTATTAATATTTCTCGTGGGACGCCTGCGGGAATTTTTTTCTTGCAATATCACAAGGAATATATCGAGACAGGCTTTTCTAACGTGGAGCTGGGATATTTTCCGGATAATGAATAGAAACCAGCCAAATTACAATTTGAAGTGAATATTGTTAGAATAGAAGCGTCGGCACTGAAGAAATATACCCGTGGCCGGTTGCCCCTTGTGATGTTCATCTAAATTCTAGACCTCCGGTGCGAGATAGATAGCTGAAGCGCTATTAAACATGTGTTGTTGTTAGATGATCTTACACCGGCATGTAGATTTTAATTTCCAAATCCTGTTCAAAACTACTTCTCCAACTTTCTAAATGAACGTGACAAAATTCCAATGAATATTACTCGATGGACTTCGATTAGAACTGGTAACCCCAGCTAGCCTTAGGCCAGTGGTTCCCAAAGTGGGCGATATCGCCCCCCTAGGGGCGATGGAAAGATTTTGGGGGGCGGTACGGAAGAAGAGGGCGTTTGGGGGGCGATAAGGGGGGCGGCAGTCCGAAGTCAAAGTTAGAAGTTCCTATGTTTGTTTGACAATTTGTACACAATACGTGCAGAACATCATGGCTCCCAGCAATGGTTTTTTTTCACCCAGATCTGTTTTTTTAACCTCTCCTGGGTTTACGTCTCCGACAAATTAACGGCCGGACTCGCGGCCGGTCTCACGGCCAATTTCCAAATTCAATGATCAAGGAATCTCTCTCAAACTAATGAACTTAACTCGTTGAAACTTGGTACACATATTCATTAGGACCTAACGGTAATGTTTAGTTTGTGATTTTTTTTAATTTTGCCTTCATTTGTTTTTGCCATAGTTTATGGCAATACGGGCCGAAATTCACAGTGAACAAGGAATTTTTTCCAACTATTGAACAGATTCGAACGAAATTCTGAATTTTTAGTCCTAACTACCGAACGGTAATGTTTAGCTCGTAAAAATTTATTCGATTGTGCCTTTGTTCGGGAGTTTTTTTTTTTTTTTCATTTCACCTTCATTCGTGATTTAAGCAACAATACGTGCTTAAATTCGCAGTAATCAAGAAATTTCCTCCAAAACTACTGAATAGATTTGAACGAAACTTAGTATTTAAATACCTAACCTCAGCAACGGTGATGTTTAGCTCGCTACAATTTTTTCGTTTTGCCTTCGTTTGCGAGTTATACGGCTATAAGTATACGGATATTCGTAAACGGCTCTTAGTTAAACCGGCCGGTAGAAAAGCCGGTTGTTCCTTCTATATCTGTATAACTCGCGAACCAAAGCAAAATAGAAAAATTGTCACGAGCTAAACATCACCGTTGGGAGGTTAGGTATTTATATTCGAAGTTTCGTTGAAATCTATTGAGTAGTTTTAGAAGAAATTTCTTGATCGCCGCGAATGTAAGCGACAAATTATCCGGCGATACAGGCCGAATATAAGTAAGTGTGAAATCAAGAATGACGGTAAAATGAAAAAAAAACTCGCAAACGAAGGTAAAATCAAACATTTTTGAAGCTAAAAAACCACCGTTTGGTAGTTAGGAATGTATATTCAAAATTTCGTTCAATTTCAAATTTTCGTTCAAATTATTTGATCACGGCGAATTTCGGCCTTTGTCGCAATATAACTCACGAATGAGGGGTGAAATTTAAAATTTTTTGCGAGCTAAAAATCACCGTTAGGTTCTGATGAATACATGTTCCAAGTTTCATTGAGCTGCGTTCATTAGTTTGGGAGATATTACTTGATAATTGAATTTGGAGATTGTTCGTGCGACCGGTCACGAGTCCGGCTGTAAATTTGCCCAAGACGTCCTATAGGTTTCTAGTGCTCAAACAGTTAAAACAGCTTAAAAACATATTGGTTCACTAAATGGGGTTCTATTTGTAAAAGACACATTTGTGTTTAACCTTTATCTTCTAAAATTGCAGCGTACTAAATTTCAAGAATGAGGCGTATGTTTTTATATGTCTGTGGGGGGCGATAGAAATTTATTAGGAAGCCAAAGGGGGCGACAGCCTGAAAAAGTTTGGGAACCACTGATGTAGAGGTTATCTAATATCCGAGGGTGCAGACTACACGCGATCGGCAGTGTTTTATTTTGTTGTTTCACACGCAGTAATGAGCACACAAATTGAAAATTGAACATAAGTGAAATTCTGCGTAAACTTTTGGAGTAAAAGGCGGGCGGCAAACTACTCGAAGCATGCAGCCTTTAATCGATAATGAATAGAAGTAGAGAAATAAAAGTTTGAGCAGAATTGCGACAATATTTTGTGTGCGCATTGGTAAGTTTTAAAACCGACTTTTATACCTATAGCAAGAAATTGGCGTTGATACATAATCGCTAAAACGCATTCAACATGCAAGCATTCGGCAAACTTTATTAAGGGTAGCGTTCACTTCGATTGCACTCTTCATTCATCTCAATCAACTCCTGGTTAATGTGAAAATTATTTAGCTGTGCTAGATTCTTCTATTTTCAAATAGTTGCTATCTGCAGCCATCAGTTTTTATACCAAGGAATAACATTTTTGCGGCAATGGAACTTGAAAGAATCTCAAAATGTTACAATTTTCTCAAAGTTAAACAGCCATACAAAAATCAGAAAGCAATGCATGTTCTTCTAATCGATATCTATTTGCCACTTCAACACTTGCAATATCGTTTAGACGCACCTTCTTTAATTGTGAAGGAACTCTATGTGGAACAGTGAAGGGAAGAATACAAAAACAAACGTTACCCTACCCTTTGATACCAACAAGTGGCAAAATACTGCACAGAACGCACAGAAATTAATCGAGAAAGCTAACGATAATATCAATCAAGCATGAGAAACGGGTACAATTTACTGAAACAATTTACTGAAAGCTGACACACTATGGCATAACATCATAACGGCGCGGTATTTTAGTTTTAAATGAAAAAGGATGTCTTACCACAAGCTAGTGGTAGAGAAATCTTTCAATGCTCAAGAGCGCAGCACTTCATTCTCATGATAAAATCTGGAATAGTTGACATCAAACAGTGGGGCATTATATTTTAAATGAGAAAACATTACATTGCGAGAAATAAAACCAAAATACTATCACAGTATTGACCAAAATGAATGGACCAAGGAAGTACTGGTTACTGAAATGAATTAACACTAAAATGTATAAATTTTATTCATGTCAGCTACTTTCGACTAAAAAATTATCGTGAATCAGCATCGTTCTTACACTCAGTAACATAACGATGAGAAACAATAATTGGCACAGCCAATAATAACTAGTTGATATCTAATGAGGTAAATAGCCAATAGCCTAAACAAGCTAGCATTTAACGGAGACGGTGAATCATAAATTGTGAATAGATCGATTGCCACTGAGTACAAAGAAGCAATTTAGTACGTACATCAGCAAATTCGGATATATACCGTTGGTTTTTGACTGCATCACCATCTCCTCTTTGAAAAGAGACCCTCACGATTAGTATTTAATCAAATTCTAGACCTTACATGGAACGTACGAGATGGAATTCGATGAAATTTGCACAGCTTGGATAATGGATACTTACATAAATTTAACTACAGCATTAGCAGGAAAATACGCCAATATTTACTCACCTCATTGACTTAAGTTAAGTTATCTCACACATGGAAGTAAGATGCAACGGCCTCGCATAAGCATATATTTATTGGATGGCGTCACTACGAACTTAAGGCTTGTAGTCAAAATGCAGCGAAGTCTGAGAGCGAGGTTTTCGCGACCATCGTGTAAAATCCTTGATCTGCCCAAAGCTCGGCCAGTCGCTACCCTCGAGCTTGTACTCTTTGTAATATGATATCCTAGCCAGACCCTTCTTCGCGGGAACTGGTCGCTTTCAGGTGGCCGAGGAATGGCCAACGGTCGGCTATAACTAATTGGATAGGCCGACCACTGGCCACGTATTATTCTTCGCCCCTCATTGACTTCGCCTTTACCATGCCACCCGTTGTGAACTGACAGTTGGAGTAATTTACGACGTCTCTTTCCCCTCAAACATTGCACAACGTCTCCATTTGAGCAGCTAGTATGCGGGATTTTCCCTCCGCGTATCAGCAGACTCGATCATAAATATTTTTTGGTGGAAAATATCTATAACAAGGAAGCTGATCAAGGAATGCCGAATATACCATTCAATTGACAATAAAAATTACAACCCGTTTATATCTCGAAAAAAGTGTAAATTCGCAGACTTGATGAACAATAATATTCAAAGTTTCTTGAAATTTCCTCTCATTAAAACTCTTTTACTACAAAGTTTACATATTTTTTGTTACTGGTCGACGCTTATAAATAAATAGCTGGGTATATGGAAAAATCCATATCGCCATCTCATTTGCGAGTGGAGTAAAGTCTATCCTAATTAGTGAAGAAACGCTTAGGGAAGAGCCGAGCCTGTTCGAAGCCTCTTGGCTTTCAATCAGGGCCTTAACACCTTCGCACGGACCTCAGCCTCACACACTCACAACTGCGCGTGCCGTGGTCGACACTGAAACTTATCCGTGTTTTCGGCACGAATGTGTACTTCTCTGGTAAAAATGCTGGTAAGCAATTTAATCTGCTGCAATTTTGCTATTATATCTTGTCTGCAAGTTGACCGGAGGGTATATTGCTCGATTGCTGGTGCACAAAGTTGCCACACCGCTTGATTACTTGCCAGAGGTGCTCCTTAGTTCATCGTTCATTCTATCCATCGCTGAGAGGTTAAGCTGCGGTTCGCGTTCGTCGCGTCCTCAGTTATTCTTGTAACCTCACCACGAGCAAGACGTCGGCGACGCGCAGTGTGAAGAAATGTTACGTGGAGTCGATGATTGATATTCGTAATCCTGAGTTACTAAATTAAGTGCAGTGCATAAAATGATGACAGACAAGCCGTCTAATAATTTATTGTAGAATATAGTTTATATTTGGGTGTTCAAAGCATCAAACGCCGTCATGGGCTCAACAGCAGCTATAAGCATCTTCGCAGCATTTTCGAATATAATTGCAGGAATGTTCACTACGCCAACAGTATATACCACGAGTGTCATGCCTGAAGATACAATCGTCGACTTCATCGTAGGTGAGCTACGCTTGAATGAGACTTGTTTACAAGGTTTTGTTATGAAATTGTTACGGTTTATTGCTTCGGTTTGAACAATATTTTTGAAGCCATGCTTATGGCCTCATCTTTTTCTGTTCGCAAAAATTATTATAAATTTCTATCCAAGGTTCAGCCCAATATTGCGAGGTTTCTAACTCATTGGGCATACATTCACCTGCATATGTGCGATATATGAAATGTTCTCCTCGAATCAATAGTCAGCTTTAACTAAGCGCGTTGGAGTAATACATGTGCTCGGCGATGTATGAAATTAAATTAACTATTAACTCTTTCAACTTTATAAATCAACTTCTTACCGAGCCAACGTAGCGCCAAAATAAGATTTAAAAAAAAAATCTATTACGTAAGCGTACAATCGTGTCGTTTAGAAATGTTAATTTAGAACCGTCGAGCTTCGTGCCTCGTGTTTCTTGTAAATAAACCAATATTGTCGACAGCGTTAAATACTTTCAGACACGTGTACGTTGGACACGTGTCTGAGGTGCACTAAGTACTTCAAGACACGTGTACATTGTACGCCTTACAAGAATGAAAGTATTACTTTCAGACACGTGTAACTTGTACTCGGTGACTATATAGAATGCATGCAGTCATCTCCACGGTGAAGGTGTCATGAAAATACAATGCATTGTGACATGACTTTATGTGAAAGCGATTCTGCAAGTAAGTGTTGTTGCGTTCAAGGTCAACAAACGGGATCCCGAGGCGATCAACTGGCATTCTGAGTAACGGGTCAGGCTTGAGTATACTTTTTTAGTTGTCATATTTTCGGGGCAGGTTTTAACCGGTTACTCTATTGAGATTAGTTTAAACTGAACATACTTTTCCTAAAATAGTTCTCCTTTCCTAAAGTCATGAAATAGTTTAAAAAGCCTACAAGATACTGAGGGAGTATATGAATGGTAAGATTGCTGAGATAAATCAGCTTATGAATTCATAAGGTGTCTCTGAATTCATACTTTGATTTGTATTAGGTTCGTACAAATAAGTTCATAAAAGTCAAAATCGTGCCAAATAACATATGGAGGTTTGGAATCTAAATATATAGTGCAATTTCCAATGTCTATATGTGGTGGATTAAGTTTAAACTCGTTGTGCAATTAATTCAGTTTGATTGTGGTGGATTCGAATCTAAACACACAGTGAATTTTTCTCAGTCGGTGTTACCACTGAGGATTTGACAAATAGAATAAATAATACATTGATAATTAATTTTCGCGCATACATGGATCATACTTTTTCATGGAAAGCTCGGTTAATATTTATCGCGCTCAACATCTAGTTCACTCATTACTTTCAAATAGTAGTATAGTATAGTATAGTATAGTATAGTATAGTATAGTATATTATAGTATAGTATGGTATAGTATAGTATATTATAGTATATAGTATAGTATATTATAGTATAGTATAGTATAGTATAGTATATAGTATAGTATAGTATAGTATAGTATAGTATAGTATCTTCGGCATTAAAGCATAGGCCTGGATAGGCCTGTCGCCGATTCTTGTATTTTTCTTGGCTAGACTGGCCTTTTGATCAAATATTTTCAACGGACGGTAGAATTAAAATCGCTTCTAGATTTCAGTTGTTCCGTAGGATACGAGGCATTTTAAGACTAAACATATGCTCCTGCATGGCCTTGTCTCTTGGTTGAAATAATATGTATTAATTCAACCATGGCCTTGTACTCGGAGCGTCATACTCGGAGCGTGAACAATATCTTCAGGGAGGCTGTTCCACATGTCGGTGACTCGAAGCGAGAAGAAATGTTGTCGCGTGGATAAGTTGCACCGCAGTTTTTTTTTTAGTTTATAGCTGTGGTCCCTGGTGTTGGTTCTTGTTTCAAATTCTAGTAATCCTTCTGGGACCTTGTACAAACCATGAGTATACTTATATACTTGTGTGAGGTGACCACGCAGGCGACGATAACGATAACTCAAATAACTCAAATTTGCTTATTCATACGGGAAATATATTTGCGGAATTAGGCAATTATTACATTTAATTATTACATCAATTTAAATATGCCATTAAAGTAATATAAAAGTGATTGATTTTAGCGTGTTCTCTGATACTTTCATCGTGTATACAATTTTCAGTATAACATGCATTCGTTGAGGCATTTTTGCGACGCTTAAATCAGAAATATCATAATAATATTGTAATACAATTTGAAGCCCTAACTTTGGCAGGATGGCCCAGTGGTTACAGTTCGGAGTATCAAAATTGGAGCTGTGAGGTGCGGGTTCGATCGCAGTTTTGTGCGACAGTTTCTGGACAGTATTGGCTATTAGGTTAGGCGTTCAATCAAAGCCAAATTTGAGCAGTGAGTTGCGTGTTCGAAACCGCAACAAGCTTTGAATGTTCGGCGATTTTAAGAATCGGCGACATGTCTTATGGCCTAATCAACGCTGAAACCGCTATTTATGTAAAATTTCATCTGAGAATGACAGGTTAACGTATAAAAATCACTTTATTGCTTAAATTAATTCATAAAAAATGGTGAATTTTTGGCTGTTTTATTTGCTTTTAAATTCTTGACAGGATAAAATTTCCCATACTTTTCAAGTTCAGAGCTCTGTGCCAATTTAATCAAATCTTACAGGCGCAAACACTGCTGATTAACTTTATTGCATAATAAATAAAATTTGCGATTGGGCGTGGTATTTTGGCCTCAATGTTATTATCTGTAGTTTCGACGTGTAGCGGAATAAAACGAGTAAAATTTTTCTGATAAATTTGACTACTTCCTTGTATCAAAAAAGTTTTGATTCCATCAAAAAATTTTTATATCGTTCCGACGAATATTTCATCGTTATTTTCCTGTGGATAGCATTATAATTACCATCAATGCTGCACAAATTGTAATATAAAGTTACCAGAGGTGGGCAGTAGCGCGCTACATGTAGCGGTAGCGGTAGCGGCGCTACATTTAAGCAATTGTAGAGGTATCGCCCGCTACATTTAGAGCATGTAGCGGTAGCGGTAGTGCCCACTGCATTTAGAGCATGTAGCGGAAGTGGTAGTGCCCGCTACATTTAGAGCATGTAGCGGTAGCGCCCGCTACATTTAGAGCATGTAGCGGTAGCGGTAGTGCCCGCTACATTTAGAGCATGTAGCGGAAGTGGTAGTGCCCGCTACAAAGCATGTAGCGGTAGCGGTAGTGCCCGCTACATTTAGAGCATGTAGCGGTAGCGGTAGTGCCCGCTACATTTAGAGCATGTAGCGGTAGCGGTAGCGCCCACTACATTTAGAGCATGTAGCGGTAGCGGTAGTGCCCGCTACATTTAGAGCATGTAGCGGTAGCGGTAGCGGCCGCTATATTTCAAAGTAGCGCTGCCCAGCTCTGATAAAGTTACTCACTTGAAGCCATCCCTCAGTGGGCTCAGGCTCGGCGGGCAGTGTGGTGGCGGGTCGACTGTCCGAGGTGCCGGACTGGGAGGTGCTGGTGCTGGAGGCTGGCGGACAGCCTCCTGCCTTCACGAAAATTCCAATCCTACAAATGGCCTCCGCGAATCCAAATGCTAATTTCATCAATTTTTACAAGACTCCTCCTCAAAAAAACTATAACCAGTTTTTGGCAAGCAATGTGAGAATGTTTGTTGATTTTAATTTGTTCACTAATTTATGTACTTTTTAAAGATTTAATTGACATTATTAAATCTAAATCAAACAATACTTGTGTTGATATATCATAGCCTTCAAATTCGAATCTTTTCCGTAACATGTGTATTCGTAACAAATGTTTTGCATGTGTCAATCATTGATGGCTATAGTCAATAGCAAATTTTATCACAGAATAGATCCTTATGTTATTTTCAGAACATGAGATTTCTTTGACATGTGTCAGTATTTTACATTCATGTTCCCCCTTTACACGCATATGCCGCATTTGTTATGCCAACGAAAAACTATCTGCCTTTGAGTGAAGTGCAATGCAGTCGGTTTCTTCATCGTGAAAAATATTTATTTCCCCTACATGATTGTTATTAGAAAGCTGTAGATTAATTCTGAGAAAAAATTGAAACGCATTTACGTGATTTTAAAAATTATATATTGTTCCCTAGCAATAAATATGCACAAAAAATTATGCAAATGATTGAATCAAGTATTTGGTTGAATGGATTTCATCAAATTGTCGAGAGCAAGCAGGTAACTAGTTGGGATAGCTTCGTTACAGAGCTAACTGAACTTATATTGAACACAAAATTAGACTTAGTGTGAAATGAAAAACTGATTCATTCAAAATTGCCTCCTGTGATTACACAAGAAAATATTTGATATGTTTTTCCTAGCAAAAACTAGCAATTTGTTTGATTGATTAATGAGCAGTGTGATGTTCTTTCAGGAACTGACATATCCAAGAGGCAGGATGATCGGCGGGACGGGCGCCATTAACCTGATGGTGTACAGCCGCGGCAACCCACAAGATTATGACAATTGGGCCCAGTCAGGAAACCCAGGCTGGGACTGGGAAACAGTATTGAAATATTTCAAGAAATCTGAAGACTACCGGAGTCCTCTGAAGCCAAAAGATGGTAAGATGGTAGAAGCCGAAAGATGGTAATCTTTGTAACTCGATGAATCCTGGACGATAATATTAAAAGGGCATGTGAAGAATAGCATGCCTCATAGAGACGGCTTTCAGTTATAAACTATTTTAAACTCGAATTATGCATATTTTACAACCATTTTTCTTCTATACATCAACCGTTGTCCAGGTCAATCGCGCTCAGTTGCCTGGTTACTTGAGTTACTCTCAGGAGAGAGTTGTTTATTTGATCATACGGTATGTGCGAATTGTTCACTTTTTTACCGAATAAAATAACAAGTGATTAACGTTGTGTACAATTAGATGCAAGACGGCAATTAATGAACTTCGTAATTCGTTGGGTTGTAATTATGACCTCCTTGCAAGCACGCACAGACTTAGTTTTCATGTCTGCAATTTATCGGTCGTTTTCTATCTAGAATTTATAGTTATATACGCCAATTCGACAAGGTACATAATGGTTGCACATAATTTTATTTAATATGATGCATTAATTGATTCGCAGCCCCGTTCCATGGGATTGGAGGACCTCTCAGCGTGCAGAAAGTTGGCTGGATGCCGCCAGTTGGTAAACTTGCCATCGAGGCCGGCAAGGAACTCGGACTTGAAGAAATTGACTACAACACAGACACAAAAATTGGTGAGAATAGGTGCTTGTACACGGAGAAAATGGTGCATTCGAGTACAATATTAAAATGCAAATAACGATTAGATATTATATGTATTACTGGCCTTGTGTAAATGGTTACCGGCTCCTTCTATGCGCACGTGGCCAGTAGCGCGCAATTACACGAAGCCAACAAGACAGTACTTGCGCATGATAGTTTTACTGGCCGCCACTGCTGTCCCCAGTCACATGCAAGCGCCTAAATTGACGATCAATAACGTCTATTCTTCACATTCCTTCCTGACCACTCTGATTACAGAACTGATTGTGCAACCAAAATTTGTGCTCTCAAGTAATGATCAATGCAATAAAAATAATGCAAGGACACTGGCTAAAATAAATGGTTTGAAGAAGATAAGGGGTTCTTAAGATCTCGGCTCTTTATTCGCGCAAATTTTCATAAACCAATAAGATTTCGGGAAAAATACTTCAAAATAATATTTTTACCAAGAGATTACGCTTGATTATCATTAATATCAATAACTACGTTATAATATACGTTAGGAAGCAACATATTACAGCTACCACTTCGTGATGGGCAACGAGTTACATCAGCAGACGCCTATTTGATGCCGAACTTGCAGCGCCAAAACCTGAAACTGCAAATCAACTCGCAAGTGATCAAGGTGAGAATGTTCTCAGGTTTACTGCGTCCTTTAGAAAGGAAACAAGCATTTCAAAGTCTAGGATACTTTATAAAAACACGTTCTCAAACGAAGGAGTTAAGGTCATCGTAGATTTACTTCGTTGAGTGCAATATTTTAAAAACTTATGCAAATGCTGTTCGAATGCAGCATTCAGCAATTTCACATTGCTGTGAAATATATATACAATGTATGTCGTTGCAGACGGAGAATATATAATCAATAGACAAATTTAAACATATACGAGGCATGCTGTAATGTATATACGTGTATTAATGTATTTCAAAGATTTTTAAAAAATAATTAGTCACAATTACTTATTCACTTGAAACCTAACTACACAAACTTGAAAAACATGCGACGTAAATTCAAGGTTACAGAGCGCACATTTTCGTATTGCTTGTGAGTAAAAAAAACTTATCGCCAGGTTTACCACTGCATGATGATTATTGGTTATCTCGAATAATCAATTAGATAGGATCTACAAGATACCTTATAAATGTCTTCTGATTGAAATAATAATCATCCAATGCAGACTACAAAAAACTTCAAAATTTTTCAACTATATCGTTATAAATGTGGAATAAAATATATTAATTAAGGCTTGACGATGAGCAATGATTTTTTTTCAGATCATCCTGAATGATGACAATTAATGTTGCCATCGGAGTAAGATACGTTCATAGAAACAAGGCAAGTGGTTTAAGTGGTAGATCCAATTGGTTCCAACTTGTGAGTAAAATTAACTTACCAAATAAATAATTAACTCCAATGCAAGACTACAATTGCATGAAATTTTTCTGTATCAAATACTTTAAATATATATTTTTAAATTGGCATTAAAGACTAACTGGGAGCTATTTAAAGGATGAAGCAGGGACTAATACAGTTACAACATCGACTAAACTTCAAAAGACTTGCGTATATTGGGCGAGAGAGGTACAGTTCAGTCTAACTGTACAACGTATAGGTTTCCAAAAATCTGTTAAATAGTCTAATTAGGCGCAAAATAAATTCATTATTGTAATATGTATCTGGTAGAATAAGAGTATTTTTCATTTTTCAAAGCGTATTTATCGATGATTTTTCGAAAAAAATGCCTGTGAAATAAACTTCTGATTTAGCAGCCGGAAAGGTATTAAAAAATTCAAGACTTGTCGGATTTCTTGCCTTCTTAACTGCAAATTGATTACTTCTTCATTCGCAGTCTCATATCATTTTCAAAAACGTCTATTCAGGAATTAAAATTCACATATTTATGTGGTCATTTGTTTGATGAATAGGTTACTTTTAATAGGTTATATTTCCATAGCTCGTAAGAATTCGCGAGCAAGAAATTTTGGTAACATTACCTGATTAAGAACAGCTTTTTTCATTACCGAGTCATAATTACTTATCGCTTCCTGATCAGGTGAAGCGAGCGTTCGCGAGGCGAGAGGTTATAATATCAGCAGGCGGCGCTGACTCTCCCAAGCTGCTCATGCTGTCGGGGATCGGAGTGCGGGAACAACTTAATAAACTTGGGGTGAGTGTATCGCGTATATGTAGATAAAAGTTGAACGTATATGTACGTACAAGTTGAACGTATATGTACTTACAAGTTAAACGTATATGTACATACAAGTTAAACGTATATGTACATACAAGTTAAACGTATATCTACATACAAGTTAAACGTATATGTACATACCAAGTTAGACGCTGTCTCTTATACACATCTAGATGTGTATAAGAGACAGTACAAGTTAAACGTATATGTACATACAAGTTAAACGTATATGTACATACAAGTTAAACGTATATCTACATACAAGTTAAACGTATATGTACATACAAGTTAAACGTATATGTCCATACAAGTTAAAATGCTTGAAATTAGGGTGCATGATGATCAGTATCTTGTTATTTACAGGGTAGAAACACTATACTTTACAAAGTGAATAAAAAGATTTCTTGTAATTATAATTTACATAATTACTGATCACACCTCTATATCCGATATTTTGATGGAACCTTAAAATACATTTATATTTCAGATCAAAACTCGTGTCGACTTACCTGGCGTTGGCCAGAATTATCAAGATCATGTTTTACTAGAAGGAATACATTGGACGATCCACCCGAACATCTCGTCGTCCGTTCTATCCCTCATCGGACCGTCAGCGTTGCTACGTTATCAGGAGAAGAGAGAAGGTGAGCTATTTTTTTAATTTTCAAAATTTATTGATAATTTATACTCTTTTGTTAAAGTAATAGGTTATAAGAAAACGCGACATAATGTACAATTATTCCTGCTCTATTGGACTCAAGATTATTATACAGAAAAAAACTGAAAAAAAGCTTTGAATGGTAAATTATATGAATCTATCGAAGTTCCAGTGGATTCTAAATTTGTAAAGTTGCATGAATATGTCATCGAAACCTTTTATCATAAAACGATGTTTTTTCAACCACTTCGCCAAGCAACAAATCTCCAAATTTCGCAGAAATATTATTATTACAAAAAAAAAGAACCATGCCTATTTTGTTTGATTTTATTAAAGCTTTTCAAGCATTCATAAGCACCAATAGACAATGAGGTTTAATGATGACGATCGAAGGACAATTACTACATGATTCATTCCTTGAATTTACTCCCAAACAATGACACAAAATTTATCTAATTAATAACATTGATCTTGACCAATAATTGCTGATTGGTTTCAGCTGCTAACTTCTTTATTAATTTATTATTTTCGAATAAATTTCCCTGTTATTTCGTTTTCGTACATCTAAACAAAGTACAAACAGCCCTTTCTTCGAAAGCTTAGCTTGCAGCACCTCCGACCACGTATCTATAGTTTCTTTACAAGCATTTCTGACCGATGTGTCATTATTGTGTCTATTTTGCGTCGGTTTGGATTGAAAAACTCGTAAAAATTTTGAAAAAAAAAATCTCCTTTGTAACGCAAACATCACGTTCTCGATCATCTTTTTGGCTTAAATTATAACTGCATGCTCACCGAGCTGAATTTCGCAGAGAAGAATTTTCGCAGGAATTTTATTAGTTTTTATTAACTTTCCCCATGTCTCACCAACTGAGATGTTCAAATAAATTCCGGGCTAAATACCCAACCAAGCTTCTATGTATCTGCAGGCCCCATGATCGTTCCGCCTGGTATTGGTGCATCGTATTTTATAAACGTCGGTGATACGGACGAGCCGACCGTTCCGGACATCCAAGTGCTGCTTGCATCGCAACTGGTCGGGCAAGATTACGGCATTTTAACCTTGGGCAAGTTCAAGCAATCAGTAAGTTCGTATACGGTCCCGCGGGCTAAGATGTACATGAAATTATCAGCTTTCTGAAATACATGAAATTATGAGTTTTCTATGACATGCACATTAGTCGTCACTCGGTAACTGCACTTAACTCATCGTTTCTTGATCAAAAAGCTTATAATGCTGAGCAGAATCATGATTTATGTTTTTCAATTAAAGCATTAAAACTGCATAGATGTTTCTATAGTACGAAAAAGTAGTGGTATAGTTGTGCTTTTAAAATAGATCGATTTTATTGCAGGCGTTATATGTTGTGTTGACATAGCGTCTCGTCATTCGAAACCTCATCTTATAAAAGAATGCCACACTGGACAGTGTCAGGCATGCTGATTCTCAATGAACCTTGTTTGCATTTGAATGACGCTGTGCCTGACTTTTCAGCATCTATATTGTCCAGTTGACAATTTAAACCTCATATCATATCATAGTGATGTCTACGCTGAAGAATGGGCCTGATGTGGCCTGTCGCCAATTCATGTAGTTTTCGCGACTTGTTCACAGTAGATCTAAAAACAGGTCCCTTTGATCGCATCTTTCCAACACTGACGATCGTTTGAAATAGCTACTAGAATTCCATCAAGTTCCACTAAACTTCCGTATTGCCTTCCTTTACGATGTATTAAATTTTTTCAGACCCGTAACTTTTCCGCACATTAAATGTTTCAATTATACAACTTTCGGGATTATGTAGTTTCTTTTTATGCTCCCAGGTGCAAGATTATTATAAGCCGACGCTAGGAAGAGATGGCTTCTCCATGAGTCCCGTACTTCTCAGACCCAAGAGCGTCGGGACGGTGACCCTCAAGTCCAAGAACCCCTTCGACCCGCCCGTCCTGGACCCCAACTGCCTCAGTCACCCCGACGACGTCGAGCTTTTGGTCAAGGGTGAGCCACCAAACATTTATTTCAGGCATCCCAAGTTCACTTTAAAGATTGAATTGGATGAGAAACACATTAATTGAGTTGTTTTTTCAATAGAAAATTTATTGTATACAAAATATTTCTTGATTGTTACCTCCAACTTGAATTATTGTATCTTGGTAAGTTGCATGTGGCATAATAATGTGTTGGCAAAATTTATGTCGAAAATAATACAAATTTCAAACTTAATTTCAAACTCTTGTCCCTTAGAAGTATATCTATTTATTTGATGACTCAAATAATTTGGTAAAAATTCATCATGTTTCGTTTTATTACTATAAGTGTCTAATTATTCAATTTCATAACTCTACAGTGACGAGTAAACATTGGCTCTTTTACAGCTTCAAAGGCTTCAGTTCAGTTAGGAAATGCCAAGACATTCCGAAGGTCCCTAGGCGCTGAACCCATCAACAAGGTAAACATTTCCCAGAGCTGGAAAATCAAATTTGCTATAATTTTTAAGATTGATATTATTGATACAGGAACCAAGCAGCGCGTCAGCAAACATAAGCAAACAAAACAGTCATTGAAGAGCGTACATTCTGAGACATTATGACTGATAAAAGTAAGGCCCATGGCATGGTAGCAAAAGCACACTCGGTTTTGTTTGTCTTCATAGCAGATTAGAACCGAATACTAAAACAATATTTTGATATTTCCTTTTAAGTATATTGCCCGCTAATTGGTATGCGGCGTGAATTGCTGCTCGTAATCGGTAGCTAATTATTAATCATTTACAATTGATTGAAATGTTCCATACTACCTATCATCTTTTCTGAGCATTAATGTTTCAAGGAGACCAATAGGGTGGAATAGAAGGTAACACTAATCATCAGAACAAACAAGCATTAGTTAGGTAATTCCTTCCGAGCGACGTTGGGATGATATACCAGAATTTCTTGTTTCTCGGACTTGAATTTATCAAGCTATATTGACGGGCCGCATCGTGACCTATTTTCATGCAATAAAAACACTTGAACTGAACTTCTTTACTATCTTCAGCCATTCCCTGACTGCGCTTACCTGGAGTACCAGTCTGACGACTACTGGAGATGCCACATCCGTGGCATGGCGGGTGTGATGGCGCACATCAGCGGCACCTGCAAGATGGCTCCAGACTCCGACCCCATGGGGGTGGTGACCCCGCGGCTCAAGTCAGACTTTGCTGTCTTTATGGACACCATTTACTTAATATAGACACCATTTACTTTTACTTTCAATGTACAATCATGAAGATACGAGCATTGAGAATATAAAAGAAGAATCCCTTTAAAAATGTAGTGCGTGTTGATGAGCGATACTTGTGCATTCTTATGACTCTTCCACATTATCTGCTCACATTTTGCTGTAGCCATAGAATTCTGGACCTCCTTTTATATGTGTATCTTTAAACGCGCGCATATTAGTTTTCTAACCCATATTTAGAAAGATGCAAAAATGGTCATGTAATTTATTATTTATTATTTACCTAGGGTTCGCGGCGTCAAGAATTTGCGTGTCATCGATTCGTCTGTGATGCCTCAAATAGTTTCAGGTGAGCAGATTGCATATGAATTAATTAATACGGGTCGTTACCGTCGGTTGAATTAACTAGCCATGGATCTTTCTTATCAATTTTTTATTATTATTAGGATTACATGTATAATATATGCATTATTTATACATGGCTTCACTTGTCACATCAGACTAAAAGACGACAAGCATTCAATAGATTGTTATATTATTGACCACTTTAGCATAGGTTAGTCGAATAACAAAATATAAACAGTATATGTTATAAGAACAACAATACAAATATTTGTTTGCTTTCAGCTAACATCAATGCGGCTGTGATCATGATTGGCGAGAGAGGAGCTGATCTCGTCAAAGAAGATCACGGCAAAATGTGACGAGCAAAATTCCCTGGTGCTGCTTCACAACTCTCATGTGCACACCAATTATAATTTTTACATCGTGAATGTACAAATTTCTTCCTACTTTGTAATCTGTAAATCGTAGTAAATTTAGTTGATTTTCACGATCAAAATTAAAATATAATTTTACTCACAACCTCAATCGAAATAGTGAATAGTTTTACCTGGCCGTTTAAGAGAAATATCATATATTTTCCTTCACACGTGATGCATGACGAGGCATAATGTCAACACCCGCATGTCGACTACATCATAGCATACCAACTTTATGTACATTTTCAAAAATAACTTAAGACGAAAAATGAATAATTTCAATGAGTACATGAATGAGAGGAATCATGACTCATTGCCTCTCTTAACCCATCAGTGCGTCGCATATTAATGTATAATCCCTTAGAAGTCCTCTTCGCTATCCATATGTACCTTCAAAAGAGCACCGTTAAAGATAATATTCAGTTTTTTGGCAGGAAAACTAACGTGCATGAGTGTTTACATTCTAATAGATGTAATTCTCAAATCTCATGAATTCTTTTGTGAACGTTCATTTGCGAGTTCGCTGAAGTGTCGAATCGGTTCTTCTCTGAGAAGTTGAGCGCTGCCCTGCATCTCCTCCCCTGCCAGTCCCATCGGCCGGCTTCTGGTGCTGCCCATTGCCCAAGCCCAACTGGGCGGTAGTTTTCTACTTCACGCCGTGCAGGGCGGACTGTGCTACAGCTCTCATTCAGTCCACAAAATTTATTGTTCCGTGTTAATTATTACTAAGTTTTGCAGTTTTTTAAAGATTTTAATTTGGTATTAAGATGTATATTAAAGACACTGCTTTGTTGATGGAGAAATTTAGTAATTTTGATGCAAGCGAAGGTTGAGGTTCAAGCCGTTCAATGTGTATATTTACTGCCTATCGGTTCTTTATCTCGAACTTTACTGCATAGTTGACTTCGCCGTGCGCTGAATTGTGATGCAGGTTCAAAGTTGTTGTTTGTATTACGTAATGAAATTCTTACTAGCTTTGTTATTACTAATTCCATTGAGGATCTCGGATGAGCAACAATTCGAGTAGTCGTATGGAGTCTCGTATCTGGCATGCACTGCTTTAGAACTGCAGCCCGGCGTGTAGGTAGGTGATCGATTGCTGCTCGGTCGGCTTCATTTGAAGGTCAAAGACTTCAGAGGGTTATGAAACTTTTTGGAATTTAAAATAAATTAGCATTATTAGGAAGCTCTTTAAAGAAAGACTATAACTAATTATGTTATACTAAGTGAATCGTTAAAGAGATTGAAAAGGTAGGATTGCAGAGGGTCCTGAGGTTTTATCGGGAGTTAATTTCAAGCATCTGTCTGCCTTTCGCTCTCTTTGGACCATTTTAACTTGGAGGGAAACTTTCTGAAGGAAGATGATTCTTCTTTGCCACGCATGGCACGCAACATTATTCCATTTCTAAAGTTGCGCCAAGTGTAACTTTATTTAATAATGTAACTTGTATTGTAACTAAATGTACGGAATAAAAATAACGCGGCATTTAAAGATTGTTTAAGCGTAGCTGTTTGTCGTACCTACATGTTGGTCCTGAAGTCACGCGTTTCTGAACTTTGTGTCATGACAGATTAGCGTTATATCTTAGGTACAGCTTGACTCAAACTTTTTTTCAGAAAATCATCAGGTATTCAAAGAATTTCTTATATGGCTTTTTGATCGTAACTCTGACTTTTTAATAAATTTTTTTTCTTGTAATGAGCGAGCGCAATTTGACTGCACGAAAGAGCTTTAATTAAGTAGTGATTAGATGCAGTTCATCTTCACTAATGAAATTCTATATCCTGTTATGGGTCAAGTTGAAATATTCTGCACTGATGGGTCTATTTTTAATCATGATTAAGTAGTGACGTTAATCTTTGACACAGCCTCTACGTCAGCGTTCAACGTACACTTGGCACTAGCTCAAGACCGTTGCATATATGCTGTAGCTTCATAAGCGGCTTTCCTTCTCTTATTTAATCGATTATTGGCTGACGTGTTGCAGCCTCTAGGATTGATAACACCATCATCATACCACCAGCAGTTGACATTTTAGGCCTTTTAAATGATCCTATTGCCATAAAAGGTAATTGTTGGGTTAGGCCATCGCTTCGTTATAAATGCCTAACTTGTAAAATAAAGATCTAGTAAGTGAGACAGCTCATTGAGGATTAGATGCACTTCGTGTAGGTTTGGTTAGGTTATACACATGAGGCGCAACGTGGTGGTGAAGTAAAAATTTACTTTACGATCCTCCATTCATGCAAATACGATTGATAAGTTCGAGCGAAAATTAAATAGATGGTGAAGATACAAGCTCATTTGCCTTATATTAGTACCCGTGCGGGCAGGAAACGATCAAGTTGAAAAAAGTACGAAAATAATTTATTACGTGATAATCAGGTTCTCTCAACATATGTGATGACGTCATATTCGTGGTGAGAAACGCATAGGATCTAAATGCCCAAACAGAATATCAATGCATACTCGCTGTACATATGTATGCAGAAGCCTCGATCAGGTCATGTAAGACGACAAATTTAGTAATTAGGTCGGTGAATGTACAATTCCAAGTTTGACATAGCTTTAAAACCCATCGCGAACAGAGCGGAGGTTCATCGTCTAGCCCCAATTTAATAAAATATTGAAATTCAATCACCACTTTAAGTTCATCTTGAAATTTCATGATTTTTTAGCGCAATTTTACATGATATCGCGCTATTTTCCTTCCGTATTGCTATACAGTCTACAATTTCCTTCTTTGCACAACGGATATTCTTCATCTCTGTGAAAGATTCCAATTATAAAAAGATGCTACACTGGCATAAAAATTAATGACGGATTTCGAGTGCAAAACCCGTTAGCTGTCTAGAAGAGATATTGTATGGAAAACAACGCATATATCGCCTGATGATCAAACTGTATTAGTGAGATGAAAATTATCTTTTATATGTTTGAATTTTCTGTAATGTCATTTTGGGTTATATTTCAGGGAAATTCGTAGTGATGATTCAAAGCTAGAAAATAAAAACTTTACTATTGTGAAGGTTTCACAGCGCTGTAAGATATTATGGATGTTTAGTGTTCATCCAATATCTGAATTATTTGACTGTGTGTTTGTCAGTTTTCTTGACGAATTATTAATGTTATTGATTAGTATATATTTTATTTATTCTTGGGAGTGAGTTGAGAGACCACATTCCGTTTTCTTAATTTTGGGGGTGCCTTGACACATTAGCTTAAAATAAGTCTCTAACCGAGAAATAAAACTAGGAAAAAGAACGTTGTTACAGTGGTTACCGAAAGTACACGTCACTTCGTTTATTTTGGTTCATCATTCATCTATTGGAGGTTATCATTTGACAATAAATTGGAGTGTAAATTATTCGTTAATAACCACCAGATATACCCTGTGAGACTCCGTTTACTGATGATCTGACGTGACTTGACTGTAAAAGCTTATGTACGGTGCACTTTCTCTTGTGCACAGGCTAGCTAAATTTATGTGAACTGAACGCTAACAGTGGCGTCAGTTGAGGCTCCGCTATGAGAATGTTAAAAACGTTTCCATCCAAGCTGTAATTGAAGCATCATTCTTAACTTATAATTGCTACCAACAAAATTCTTCAAACTGTTCAATAATTTTGAAGAAAAATTTGTTTATGTCTTATCCTCGATGTCTTGTATAAGGAAAGCATGCAAAATGTCAAAAAAAAATTTTTCTTATCGACACGATTCGCCCCACACTTGTACTTTCCCTAGACATAGTAACCCGAAAATTTCGCTCAAAAATTGTGACCATATTTCTATCAGACTGAATTAATATTCTTCGCTTTAATGCAATTAAATTTGTACCTTAACTTCAGGTTATTTAAAAATGTTTATTTTTTATACGGTATTCGATCACAAAATCGACTACCGTTTATTGAAAGTAATTCGGTCTAGCACTTGGGTGGCTAAAGTCCCAGAGGTACTTAGGGCGCTCGTTACAGAACACTAACACGGAGCAAAAAACACGTTTCGGTGTCTGCTCGACACCTGAGAGGACACACGGTCACAAGAAAATTAAAAAAATTCGCTCAATGAACAGAGGACAATTTTTGTGTTTGAACAAAATTTTTTAAAGCACGTGCGAGCAAAATACATATTAATATATAACAACAGAACAATACATCAAGCCAGCAGTAAATAGCTCAGATAAAACATGAGATGAAAGAAAACACGAAAAATGAACAATTACTTTAACTATAACTTAAATAATGATGAGTCAAAATTTATTCTTTTTGACAGTTCCACATCCATCTGGATGAAAAGCACTTAAACAGCAAGGGTTTAAAATTCAGTACAATTATAACGCCCATAAAACTGCATTTAGTTCTTCACTAGTGATTTTCAAGTATATATGCTCTGTTCTTTCACTTCTGAAAGCTTTTTATGAGCACTGCACGAATATTGTAAACCTCACGGTACGCTATTTCTGGATGGGGCTGGAAGATCTACTCAAGTTCCAATATGGCTGCTTAATCATCCGCTTAAAGTGTCCTATTATTTAAGTGTCGTTATCCACCGAAATTTACATTGGTTCTTTTCTGAACAGGTCTTCAGATGAAAAATGAGATTTAAAAATATCATTAACTAAAATAAATGTCTGTGTCTACACGGTTTGATGGATTAGAGTGCGTGTCTGCAGCTACAGTATTCCTCTAAATTAGGGAGGGTGTCTGCAGCTACAGTATTCCTCTCACTCAATGCTCTGCTCACCGAGCGATCAGATGACAGCCAAGTTCGAAGACCTTCTCTCCCAAGTGGACTCCGGACCCTGGACATGGATGGTGTTTGCTTTGTGTTCTGTCTGTGAGTATTTGCTTATGGTGGCATGCTTCGTATGTGTTCTAACATTTAGTCTATTCTCATGGTGACATGTTTAGTATGTGTTCTAACATTGAGTATATTCTCGAGGTGACACGTTTGTTATGTGTTCTCAATGTCTATTAATCTTGACATGGTTGTTACGTGTACATGCTCCTTTTTAATGTTTATTCTGTGTCTTGTACGCGACGATTCAAGTGTTCTAGTTACGGAAACAAATGCTATTGTTAATCCAGGGGGACTCTTCGGAGCCATGCAGGCGGTGTCAGTCGTGTTCCTGACACCAGCTGTCGCCCACTGGTGCCACGTGAACGAACTTCACAACACCAGCTGGACGATGGACCAAATAAAGAACATTTCCATCCCCTGGTAAGAGACATTGTGCAGAACAGCAGTTGGACGCTGGATGAAATCAACAACATTTTCATAAACTTTTAAGATATTCAGTGCCAAATTATTTTTCGTGGTCTTCATTCAAATCCTGGCTTGGAAGACTTGGTTGGAAACTAATTTTTCCCTTACCTGGTTAGAAACGTAGTGCTCTATTATTTCGCTTGATCGTAATAGACAGTTCAATCCGATTTGGTCGATTATTTAGAAGGTTTTTCATTTCATTTCATTACACGTGCGACGTGCCGTATCCACGCAGCACTAATTGAGAGAAATATACGTAATGTACAATTTTCAAACTGCTCATTTTTGATCATGTGGCACCCGTCAATAAACTTGATAACAAGCATGTACTCAAAGGTAGTTTTATTCAGTTAATTCGATTTGATCAGTTCAAATAGATTGATTATATTTTTAAATAAGTTTTGGATAACGAGAAAATAAAATAAAGGATTTTAGCTAGAATCCTCATAAACAATTGTCGGAAATTTCCCTCCCCGTTATTGGTTAATAAAAGGCAAACAATTCGTTTTGTCGTTTGTTTGTGCTGTGTAAAAAATTCAAACACCGAATCGCCTTCTAAAAGAACACGTGAATTTTTTACTGTTCTGTCGCGATGCTGCAACTCAGTCACGTTTTCTCACTAAGGCCGGCCATGCCGTCACGTTTCTCATTAGCGTAATTTAATTTGAATGCGACTGCTCCATCTTGGACTATTAATTAGGCCTTAGAGATGATAATGAGATTGTCGTAAATGTAGGTCTTCTATTATTCACTATCCCTACAGTTTGGTAAGCGAGAGAATATTAGTCACTAAAATCGTGAATAATATTCCCTAAAATGTTATTCAATGTGCGAGAGATTATTATTCACTGTTATTCACACTATATTATTCACTTAAAATATCGGTTATGATAACCGATATTTCATGATTGATGCCACACTATAAAAATCGTAGAGTCTCATAAATTTAAAGTGTCAAATCGCGCCCTAGTGAAGTCATTCCCATTTTTCCTGAAATACCCATCGACGTTTAAGTACAATTCCAGTGAATAAAGTAATTAGAATTTTTTGTCTAGATTTCATTTGTTATCATATGGCTCAATAATTATCCATCAATACGAGATAACAAACTAAAACAATATCCAAGGAGAGTAATGTCTGATAAAGAGTAGAAAAGGCTTTTTGAATTACAGTTAAGATATTACTGGTTTTTTGAAAAGGATTTTAAAGTTCCCATTTTGACCAGGAACACCGAGACATCCTCTTACTCGTCATGTAGCCAATACAGTAAGAACTACAGTGCACTGAGCGTCTTGCCCTACGAGCAAGCCCTAGTCTACAACGTTACTTCTACCTCCCCTTGTCGTGCCTGGGACTACGACACTTCTGTCTTCCGCTCTACTGTCGTCTCCGAGGTCGGTGCAGGTCTTTTTCTCTGGTATTTACTTAGTTAAATTCTTATTTTTATTCTTATTGTGAGTATCGCGTACATAGTCTAGAATTTCGTCGTTTAAAAGTTATTGTATTATTTAGGAAAATTTGTCTTGTTAATGCATTGAAAACTGTGTTAAAGTTGAGCGTTGCGGTTTTCTTATAGATTATATTGAATTTCGATTTTTGTTAGGTTTTATTGCTAGAAAACTTGGAATAGTGTTGTCACTCAATCCCTTCTCTTGTTCTATTGGAAGTAGGGGCCAATTGCTTGTGAAAATATTATTTTATTTCTTTAATATTTTTAACACCTACCTATGTGACAATCAATATTTTTTTGTTAAGCATTCAGTCTAAATTTATTCCCGAGCTAGGGGGCGTTTAATTTTGATTTTAATACAAACAATCAACTCTCAGGACCCATAGAGTGGCAATAAAATATTTCTGTAAATTTTCAAGTTTTATAATTATTGACATACTTATTAAGCACACTGTCGACAATCAAAAATGTTCAATCGAAATTCAAATCTATTTTAGACACATAGCAAGCAATTGGGTCAATCTAATCTTCGACTCAACACGATTGCGTGCCCGCCAAAATGCAAAGCTCTAATCTTCTCCACGCAAATCCGGATTCGCAATCTCAACCTGGGAGCTCAATGCACTTCCTGCACTTGTCAGGGTTCGCAGCCTGTCTAGCCTGCGCGATGAGGAATACTCGTTTCAGTGGGAATTGTAATTTACAGAGTCCAATGGTACAAACAATTCAAAAAATAAAATCTAAACGCTCTGACGCATTATTTTATTTGGAAATTATGTAGTAGTTATTGTCCTATTGAGGGAAATAGATTTGAATGGCGATCCATATGATGAGTGAGGATTTAAACATTTCAATTTAAAAAATGTTATTTTTTCTTGAAAAAAAAGGTTTTTTCAGAGTCTACATTAGTCTAGATTGCAAAGCTTGATTTGTCGAAATAGTTTTTCAGAATATTAGTTCATATAATGATATTCATAAATGTAAATTTGTTTTGTTCTCAATTAGAATCCAAGAAGTAGACAGTCTAAAAGACAGATCTTTTGAAAACTATGGATAAAATCCTGGACCATTGTAAGCTCTCTATAAAGACCAAAAAGTCACAATAATAATAGGAGTGTTATGGTTATTTAAGTGGTAGAAAATTACTCGCCGTTCGATTAGCTTCATGGTTATTTATCTCATAATCCAGCAATGTCAGGAAATCTGAGATTTAGGATTTGGTTGTTAAAAAGTGATTCAGCTCGCGTGAACTGCGTGGAATTCCTTCACCTGTCGATACAAGACAATTTTTATGATTAATCTTGAAGATCATCGTCATGGTGACGCTCTACCAGACTTATTCCCTTCTTGACGAAATTATTGACAATTCGCTATTCATAGCCAGAGGCTGGAAATTTATTGCAAGAATCAGATGTAACTTCTGATTGTATTGACTTGCTGATAATTGAAATAATCATAAACTACAAAAGTTACCTCGTGTCGCACTTTAAATTAAATGAAGGAACCAAGCTCAAGTAAATTCTATGCTGCTTTTTCATACAGACTTTCATTCTATGAATGATTTTATTATAATATTTGCAGTGTACTGACTTTTAATTTCAGTGGGATCTGGTGTGCGACAGAAGCTACCTTCGTTCGCTTGTACAGAGCGCGTTCATGATGGGAATTTTTGTTGGTTCCCCAGTGAACGGCTTCCTCGCTGATAGGTAATAAATTAGTCTGCATTGTTCTTTTCCACATTGATGCTTCTTATTACCTTTAAAATATTATTTTAGACAGGCATGATATTGAGAGAGATGAGTTTAACAAGGTTCACAAACTTTTTTGTACCAATTAATCGTTTATTTGTGTACCTGAATCAAATATAATGGACTTTGATGAATATTTAATAATTTTTTACATTAATAACTGCTATTCTATTTGATTTGGGAACGGTTGATGGATACGCTGAGATTAATGACCGTAAACAACTGTCTTGTTTACATTCTGGTCCTTGCAGGTTTGGCCGTAAAAAGATACAGTCGGTGTCACTATTTATTTTCCTGGCGGTGGCCGCCCTGGCTGCGGTGGTGAGCTGGTTCCCTGCCTTCCTTTTGTGCCGCTTCCTCATGGCCTTCTCAGGGCACTGCGTTTACCTCACCTCATATATCATAGGTAATAATAATAATGTGATGATAATAATAATAATAAATATTAAAAACAGTAATAATAATGATATTAATAATAATAAGTATAATAACAGTAATTATAATAATATTAGTGTGTAAGGATTCTTTTTGCCAAATATGGCCTCTTTCCAAATTCTTGGCATCGCAGAATTCTCGTAGCTTGCGTGGCTTTGAACCAGAAACTCATCACGCCAAACTTTCTACTCTCAACCGCCCGGCCATCGCGTTGATATTGACCAGAGCTGTCATAGAAAGCTTGGACCAAACCCATAACTCACTGCACCAAGTAATGAACTTTAATCGCCCGGCCATCTTACCGATAATTTCAATGCAATGTGTCTACCTCGCCTCATATATCATGGGTAATGTGTCTACCTCACCTCATATATTATAGATAATGTGTCTAACTTACCTCATATATCAATGGTGTCCGTATACTCAACCTCATATATGATAGATACTACGATTATCTCATCTCAAATATCAATGGTAATGTGTCAGTCTTACTTCATAAACTAGAAATTGACAACTACATTAAACAAGTCCATAGATCGTCGTCCCAATCTAGACCAGCGCTAGTATTTTTTTCATGTGCGCCCTGAGCTCAACTTTCTTACTATGGTAGTGCAAGAAATGTAAAAACCTCACATACGTCATTGTAACTTTTGCTACAATATGCACATCTAATATCCTAAAACAGTCACATCAAATAATTTCGTAGTTCTTTGCAAACTAATACTCACCATTTTCAACAAGTAGACGTAATCGACAATTTATGTGAAAATTAGAAATAGAGGCGATTAGTTATTACTATGAGGTCGTTGAGTAAGTGGAAATATCGATCAAGTTTAATTGTAAACCATAGTTATAAATATAGATACACTAACACTAACATCGCTGCTGTAAAGGAATTATTGATTGAACAAGAAAAAAACTAATTCAAAACGATAATTCTTAGATTTTAATTTTAGTTGTTGAGTCATGTAGTGTTTAAGCAATAATTCTCCAATTTTAGCTGTTGAGACATGCAATGTTTTACCAATGATTCTCTAATTTTAGCTGTTGAGACATGCAACATTTACCGATGATTCTCTAATTTTAGCTGTTGAGACATGCAACATTTACCAATGATTCTCTAATTTTAGCTATTGAGACATGCAGTGTCTAACCAATAATTCTTTAATTTTAACTGTTGCGACATGCAGCGTCTAACCAATAATTCTCTAATTTTAGCTGTTGAGACATGCAGCGTCAGGCACCGAGGCACCATCGGCATCCTCTTCTCGGTGCCCTTTGCATTGGGCGTGATCCTCCTGCCAGGCTTCGCGTACCTCATACGCGACTGGCGCCACCTCTACCTGGCCATCTCACTGCCTGTGGTGCTCCTCATAGCCAACACTATGTTAGAATTCGATCAATTAATTCTTCTTCAAAGTTATTCTCTGTGTGATAAAATGACCTTTATCGGATTGTTCGCTCTAATAAAGCCATACCAACCTTAATTTTTTACTAATATTATGATGTATAAATGAAAGTGTCTAACCTAGTTGTTGACAGATTTGAAATATGTTACTACCCTTACTCGTATGTCGTTCTGAAATGTGTACAGCAATATATTAAGTAGTTGAGTTTCCTAGAATAAAATAGCAGTTCCCAGGAATGCTTCAATATTGAAACTTGATTACATCAAACACTTGTTTCATCATAGAAATTTTGCTGACAGTTTACTGCCTGAGTCGCCTCGTTGGCTGATCCAGAAGGGGCTCAGCAAGAAGGCGGCTGAGGAGCTGCAAAGAGCGGCGCGCTGGAACGGACAGAAACCTTTGGACTCCATCTGGCTCGCAGCTGCCATCGCTGAGATCCATGCCTCTGTGAGACCCAGCTGTCATGATGAAACTTGAATAAAAACCGTAGAAACTTGAATAAAATCATTATAATTGAACTCCCTTTCAAAAGTGTCCTATTAAATTCAGTGAAGATATGCCTGGCTCGCCGCTGCCATTGCTGAGATCCATGCTTCTGTGAGACCCAGCTGTCATGTCGACATCCGTGCCGCCACAAACTTGAATAAAATCATTATAAATGGACTCCCTTTCAAAAGTGTCCTATTAAATTCAGTGAAGATATGACTACTTTTTGGAACATTATTCGCAGGATTTTCATTCATTCGAGTGACTGACTCTCAACAGAGTCAGGAGATCGCGTCTCCTGCAGATGAACACGAAACATCAGACGTGGAAGTTTCAGATCGAGGAAGCTCAATGTCTTTCTTGGCCGCCTTGAAGATGTTGTTTTCAAGTCGCTTTATAATAACAGTTACCGTGATACTGAGCTTCGTGTGGTTCACATGCACCCTCGTGTATTACGGCATCATTTTGAACTCTGGTAATCTAAGGTGAAGTTGCGTAAAGCTCTTTCCACAAAGATCGTTAATTCATCGTAATGCCTCATGATGGACCGATATTTACTGAAAAATCGTTGAAACTTTATTATTTTGATGAAAAATTGTCTCCATATTGAAATTTGTCATTGTGTTTTTCCCTTTCTTTTCCCGGCTCTAAAACTTGCCATTTCCTTGCCTTTCATATTCATACTTTATCTACTTCCGAACCTAAAATTAAATATTCTTTAAGAACATTTTATCTGTTCCTGACACAGTGCCGACCCGTTTGTATATACGGCGCTAGGAGGGGTTGTGGAACTGCCAGGTTATCTGCTTGGAGCCCCCGTCGTCAGGAGGATAGGGCGGCGGCTGACGTTAATATCGTCGCTCTTCATCACATCCGCCGCCATCCTCGGCCCTTTGGTCGCCGCCAGCGGTCAGTGTCGATGATACGGCAATGAACTTTTTTCTAGCTCGTCCTCCATTTTATTCTATAAAATATCCATCAAATTTCCTGATACGTTAATTAGGGAGCCGTTATTTTCAGGTGACAAGACGTCATGGTGGTTCTTGGCGTTGGTTCTGGTGGGCAAGATGACGGTCACGGCAGGGTTCCAGGTGCTCTATCTGTACACCAGCGAGCTCTACCCAACCTGCATCAGAACCCAGGGCCTGGGCCTCACTTCCATGCTGGGCCGTCTGGGTGCCATCCTCTCACCTGTTATTACCAGCAACTTGGTAAGCCTTCTCAGAATTTGCGTAATTTTCGTTCTATTAGAAATTTTGCTCCAAACAGTTTATATGTCTGGATTTAAAATTGTATTCTATTTCTACATGAGTCCTCTTGAGAGCATGGGAGCTCTAACCAATTCCAATATTGCATTTTTTCATGTAGGGCAAGCGACACAAAGGCGTTACCGAGATCAACGTGAAATCTGGAACAGTTTGCTAAAATCACATGAACATTATACGTTATGTTTTGCTGGTCTCTGTGAATGTCATGCGCATCAAGTCCTTTTCATGGATTTTTGTTTTTTGTTTTGTTTGTTTTGTTGCCTACACACATGACTTATATCCTTCACCATATAAACGAACACTAATGAGTTGAGTAACACTACGTGTGTTATATATTTCCTTGTAACGAGCATGAAGATGTAATTTCCGTTGAATTTAAGCTGTTGTGTGAGGCTAAAGTTAATGATATTTATATTGGCAGGGTGCAGTGCACTGGTCCATCCCCAGCCTGATCTTCGGGCTGACGAGTGCAGGAGCAGGTCTGCTGACTTGCTTGCTTCCTGAGACAACGCAGCTCGGCTTGCCCGACACGGTCCATGAAATGGAAACCTTGCATCGTAAAAAGTCAGTTAATTGTTTCTTTTAGTACTCTTGTCATATTTGAAGTCCGACACGGTAATGGAATTGGAGGCCCGGCATCGCAAGACATGAGTGCACGTTAAAATTACGTATTTAATGTTATAAGTATTTCTGTCATGATACAAGTTAGGTAAGTAAATACCCTGTAAAGTTAAAGTAATATTGAAACTCAATTACTAAAACATCTCCATATATTATTGTTTATGAACTTGAACATGGATGACACTTGAATTAAACTGAATTAAACTTTATTGAAGATATAATTTATAATTTCTGTTACTTCATTGTTAATGTAGTGAAAAAAAATTTTTTCTCAGAAGTGGCTGTGACGAAGACCGCCATGTCGACGATACGCTCCTTGCCACTGCCGAACAGGACGTCGGGCAGAGCTTCTCCAAGCGTGATAATGAAGCGTCGGATAGCGTTAATAGTTTATGAGACAAATTCTAGTTTTACACTGTACAGGTCATGATGCATTATCATCATTAATGTAAGAAAACTTCTCCGTTGAAATGTACCTATTAAATGACTGAAGATATTCGTAATTATTCCATTTTATTATATGAATTCTTAAGAGAAAAATTAAGATTTAAGCATATTAATTAAAAATGGAATTAGAAGGGATAGAATTTGTCGATAAATTACCGATAGTATCTAATATTTTAAACAACCAAGGCATGTGCCAACAGATTTTTGGTTCAGAGAGTGGAAAGTTTGCAATTGAACTTTTTTCAATACGTATTTTGTTACTGTTAATCATGTTGTTATTGATCAACTTCCTAGGTAAGATTCAAATTTTTTCTGTGAAATAATTAATGATTCAACAAAATAAAATAGGTAATTACATGAGTGTCTAGTATTGCTTTGTCACTCTTTGATCTCACCAGCATTTTGTACAATATATCCTGCTATTGCCAAAATCAGACAAATATTTACTTCTCATTTCAGTGACATGAATAAAAAGATGTGCTGTGCTTTCAAATGAACTTAAAGAACTTTTTAGGAAGTTTTAAACCGCATAAAATGCCTCTAATATAGGGCCATGAGCTTCCGAATATGTACGTGGAATACTGTACGCCTACACTGTATACATTCGATTAATGAGCAATATGTATTATTCATTCCGATTGATTATTATTCAGATGAGTCAAGTATTAAGTATCCAAGTGGGTCAGGAAGTTTAATATCGTTCATTTACTCATTTTCTACTTACTTGCGTGAGTTATTTTGCATCAAAAATAAATACATGAATTTTTATTTTACAAATTATCAATTCATATTGCGTTACTGTTGCTCAAGTGTCAAACCTGAACTGTTGTTCATGATGTGAGGATTTATTTTTGAAATAAATTCATCTAATTCTGAACAGATTTTTTACAATGATCCTTCCGATGCAAATGTCTCCTTGATATAAAGGCCATGCTGCTTTGGCATAATTATTCTAGAAAGAATGCAAACTACTCAAATATTTCATTTTTCCTGGTAAAAAATTATGGGCGTTTCTCCAGCCTTTGGCCAATTTAGGTGGGGATAGATGCAAGTGACGTTTAAGAACAACCATTTACGCACCGGAAACTAAGTTTAAACTTTTTCATCTCATATAAGGCCCTTTAATAGCCGGTTCGGGGCTATAGGACACTCTTCATATTATTCTAGGCCCATAAACAGCAGGTTCGTGGTGAAAGGAACATCTTTATCTCATGTTTCAGCCTTTAAACATGCAGGTTCGAGGTGCTAGAATCCTCTTCATCTCATTTAAGGACTCTAAACTACAAGTTCGTGAGCTAGGACCTTCCAGTGAGACTTTTCTTTACGGCTGATTTCTGACCGCTATGTTGATAGGCGTTTGCAGTTTCATCGCGTTAGGAGAAAATGCGCTCTCGATAGCCGTCGCGATTTTAACATGCGCGTGTTACGTTCTTTAAAAAAATTAAAAATGTGAAAAATTGACATTATTTATAATAAAAGAAAAATGATCTCGATTGTAAAGGACCCAGGAAATAGTTAGTTTAGTGGCCACATGTTTACTATCGCTTCAGCTAATTAGCTATCTCGCGCCGAAAGCCAAGATGAACATCACCAAAGGGGTGGAAGGTCTCAGTTATCGGAAGTTTCTCAAATAAAAAATCAATCATCACCCACAACGGGCGGGAGGTCTCAATAGTCCCGCCCGCTGAAGCTGGCTCGAAAGAAGCAGCGTTAGCATCTCAAAGAGACGAAGTGACAAGGAGGGACAGGTGAAAAGCAACAGAAACTAAGACACTCGAAGAAGAGGTCGCTTACACGAGACGTCGGCCGCCCGCACGAGAGAGACAGAGAAGGGAAATGTAAGGAATCCTACCTACATAATAACTAATAATAATAATAATATTAATAAGCCCATAATAAGCCCACAACCGAGACCCGCAGTCAGACACCGCGAGGCGCGAGCTCAGCGGTGGGGCGCTCAGGAACATTCCCCTAGGAGCGCGAAATCCCATAGGATTTCTGACGCGCACAGACACACGTCAGAATTCCCGCCTTAGGGGGACCCTGGAAATCGAATAGTAGGTATTTAGTAAGTCAGTGGTCAAGCAGCATTAAATTGAACTAGAAATAGTTATTTTCTTTTATTTGTCTTCAGGAATTAGCCGCATGACTGTAAATATTTAATGTCGTTTACAGTTTGAAACTGCCATCTTGCTGTTCATGTCATATGATAAAAATTTGTTAATCAACTGAGATATCGCCTTCGATAACTCAACGTGTTAATTAATTGAACAGCCTGGATAAACCTGAAGCAGCTAGGAGTATAATTGAACCTACCGTCTATGAGGTACTACCGCTAATAGTATGATTGAAGAACTTACTCTGCAGTTATATTCTATGCAGATTATAATGAACAGTTTTTGATTAAAATGAACAGTTTTAACCAAAGTGCCGAGTAAAGTTTTGATTAAAATGAACAGTTTTTGTCCATCAACATATTAACACTGTTATGCATAGGATGAAGTTCTGGGATTTGCACACAATACTCAATACTGAACAATTATATTTCTAATCTAGTCAGGTAGTTTGGATTCTAGATCTAATTGATTTTCAAATAAATAATGCTCAAATTATTGTATTATTAACAGGAAATATGAATCAATCATAAATTAATGACATCACTAATAAACAAATTCACAACCAGAGGTCTAATGACTTAATATCTAAACATTTTTTAACATGCATATCTACGGACATCATTGCTTTCTAAGAGTTTATTTAATTGACCTACTAAAGTAATTCTTTTCGTTTGTCACTAATTATTTCGGCCTGATGAACTGATTAATAAATTTATTCATCTCCTTTCTACGGAAAGCGAATTTGAAGTGCAGTGAAAGTCTTCTTGAAAAATTAGCTTAGGGAATTCATGTATGAATCAGAGAGTATGAGTAAGAGTATGATTATTCATGAACTAGTTGATCAAATTTTACGGTTTTACATTTTCAAATTTGATCCGCACATATAGGTAAATAACGAAATTTTTTCCCGACGAAACGGTCAAACTAATATCCGCAAATTTCAGAAAAAGATGTTACAGCGTAATTGATATACGAGATATAATAATATCTGCTAATTTGTCTCCGTTGACGAATTTATTTTCTTGATTTTGCTGATAGAACTGGACTAGAAAAAAACACGGTGTACTGCCGAATGTGGTCACTGATAAACTCCATATTTTCACATGACTTAATATAAGGCTGAACTCAAGATGGTTTAAATTTAGAAGGGATGAGTAAACTTCCTCAACCATCGACTACTTCACAAAATATTTGTACCTACATTAACCGATCATTTCCAAATAAACGAAAAATTAGTCAACTTGTTGATTTTTTATGGTGAAAACAATGAGAATATAGACGATTGAAAATAATGATTAACTAAACGATTCCTAAAATATTTTTGTTACAATGTTTGAAGAATATTTACAATACATGATGCTGAAAAATTGACATGAAATAAATTCTACCGAACAATTTGTGCTACTCGTTCGACCCCAATAGCCTAATCGACGCCTTGAGTTTCGTCCTCGACCTGCAGAGGTCGATTAACAAATATAATGATAACATAACAACGATTTCAATAACAGTACCAGTAACACTACCTTACAGAACTATCTAAGTTAATACGAATACTTGTAAATAAATTATAACCTGCATTTCTCGCTATGCCAATTATCGGCATTACCGGAACATGAAGAACTGCGATGCCTTGAATTCATTTATCTCGGTAAGCTAAACGAAGTCGCCGACTATATAATTGTAGATTATTTATTATTACAGAGAAGGTAATTAAATGGAATCAACGAACATCCATCTGTGATTCATGCAATTTTCTCCATTTTAATTCTAAAATAATTGCCCAGAAAAATTATTATTATTTTTTCATGTCGTCTGACGCAATCGATGGAAAGTGTGCATATAATTAAACTCACTTTGCACATCGACGAGCAATGGGTTGATATGGATACGTTAAAATCGATATGAAAAGTGCTACAATTACCGAAAAACCTAAAAAATTCTTTAGAAAAATCTCCTGGTTTATTAGCATGAGTGATAAAAAATTTAGTGACTGGAAGTCGTCGGGAAAGAGTCATAGGCGCGGGAAATATTTCGATGCATTTTTGACGTGGTTGAACGTCGGAACATATCTCAAGCCAACAATTTTGCAAGTGAATAATGAGACGACTAATTAAAGAAATAGGTATTGCATTACAATGCATCTAATTGAAGATGAACTGTAACGCTCTTAGAGAAGTTAAAACGTGGCAGTATGATAAGCAATTATTCTAAGAGTCTGCTACATTTTCTAACGGTCGAATGTGTTACAGTGTAGGAAACTGCTGAATATTTCTTTTATATCTATTGTCTAGCAGCGAAGCTATACGCGATGACTTATCTGGCAACAATCTAACAATTAAAGCTATTGTTGGTTTAGCCAAGTGCATGTCATCAACATCAATTTGGAAAAAGAGGCTAAGCGAAATTGTGATTTGAGTAAAAATCGTTTTAGCTCTTATCTCGTTTTTGGGATGAACATCGAAAAAGACGTCCATCATTTAGGCATCTTAGCCCTTCGTACCATATTAGATTTTTCACACCAGACTTGTGCTCGTAATACCTAAAATTTTACACCAGACTTGCGATTGTAATTCCTGGAACTTCACACCATTTAATTTGTCCTTTCCAGCCTATTAGGCCTCATTCAACAAATCCCTTTCCAATTAATAGTTTCGTTATTCAGGCCCTCCATATTTCGTTTCATTCCTGACCTGAACTCTCAAGGCCTGATTTCATGGCCCAACAATTATTTAAGCTGGAATTCTACAGTAGAAATTCTTTATTCCCTTTGAATTTGTTCATCGCCCACGTTTCACGATGTATTAATATAAAAACTTTACTCTTGAAACCGATATCCATGCAATCCTCTCGTTCTGTGCACCCAGTTAAATATTGAAAAAAACTTTAGTCCTATTAATCTGGCAGAACTGCCAGAACAAGATTTTGCCCTCATCCTTGCCTGAGTCTAAGTTCTAATATCATAAAGTTGCTCATCAGTGACACGAGCATTGAGCAACCTGACATGAGTGGGCAGCAATTCCGGCTTCAGTAGCTATTTTACACTCTGAAAATGTCGTTGTAATTTTGAGCCACGGGATATTAGAAAACAGTAAACTACCAAATGAATATACGAGGCAGGACATGGGTGAAGGACGAGAAATAATGAGACGACCAATTAAAGAAATAGTTATTGCATTACAATTCCTAATTGAAGCTGAACTGTAATGCTCTAAGAGAAGTTAAAAAGTGGCAGTATTATGGTCGCACATGTTAATGTATAGTCGTTGAAAAAACATTAGATATTTCAGTATGAATTTTGTATGGTAGATAGAATTTTTGTTTTTTATTCATTACCTTTCATTTTTTGTATATACGAGCCGTGGAGACTGCACCGATAAACTTTGAAGAGTTTCAGGCCTCGATCCAGTTCAATTCTTGCAGTGATAACTTGAGTGTCTCGTAACAAGGTTCATACCTATTCGAGCACTGCAGTAAATCAACAAGTGGTCATTTAAGTATTGAGATAATAAGGCCAGTAGACGAGGTTAAAGAGCAAGAAGAGTAGAGGTAAGCCATAGCGAGCTGCCTTCTCAGTGTAGTCTTCGTAGCGGATATAGCGCTGAACAGCGGACTCGACCTGCGTCGTGGTGGAACCTTTGTCCTGCGAGAACACTAGGGTCAATATAGGAAGTTTATGCGTAGGTCAATATGAGGCATTTGCAAGTTAATCTGCTAGATGCACAAGTAAATGCATTGCGAAGAATGCACGAGTAAATTTCTGCCCGCTCAGGTAAATCCGAAAAAGGCACGAGAAAACTCGATTTATACACAAGTTAATCAGAAGCATGCGCAAGTGAACTGAGTATCTGTTCGGGGGAGTCCGATACATGCACTTGTTAATGCGAGGCTTTCAACGTTAAATCAGATGCTTGCTCCGGTAAATTTGATACGTGCTCAGGGGAATCTGAGGCATGCTTTGGTAAATCTGTAGCAAGTTTGGGTATATATGAGGCATAATGTGACACGGGTTAATCCAATGCTTGTAAAGTTTTGAATCTAGTGCAGGCTAAAAAATGGGCATCGAATTCGCCGGTCATTAGTGTACAATAACCAATTTTCAAATGGACATTTTCTTCACGCAGGCCTTAGAATCTCGCTTCATGATACCTTTATAATCGCTGGGTCAATAAAATATAAAGCATATGATTCTATCATGATTCTAGTGGAACCTTCTTTCTTCAATCCTCTTTTTCCTCAGACATCTCATGTTAAAGCCAGTCAGGAGTGTGTCGACTATTTTCTAAAGTTTCAAGTTAAAAGTGCAAGCCATCTAATTCAGTGTAGATGTGTTCGTCAGTGATTAAAACTGGTCATTCAAGAGGGTAATAACCTGTCTGCGATAAATTATGCCTAGAATCTCCCACATTAAAAAAATGCTGTCTAATTGCTGTTTAATTTTTTCTGAGAAAACTCAAAAGTTTGTAGTCTGTTAATAACGATTAATTCGAATCAGCTGAGTCAATGGCTAGTCTGACAATAAAAAAACAGATATATGGCAGTTTAAAGTGATTTTAAATTACCAAGCGACTCACATTTGGCTGCACTTGGTTGACTCTGGCAGCGTCCGCTCGTTTGCGCCATCTGGGGGCAGCAAAAAATCTGACATGAAAATACGGCTCTTAAGTGCTTGGATGCCGAATTTTTTAGAGCTCTGACTGAGAAGTGGCACCGTTTGTTCACTAATGCAAACTGTAGGAATAAGAGAGTTATTGTTTGAAACGAATTGCGTTGTGCCCGAAGGCAGTGGAATAATTGGGCGCTTAGTAGTTTTTTAGGAGTTTTTAGGACAAATTTAAAACAGGCAAGCGGGAGTTGACTGGCAAGAAAGCATTTGAACGATTTGTTTTCCTTAGACAACGTATTTTATATTCATCACCACATTTGCGAGTAAAAAAATTCACGCGAGGCTGCTTTATGAAAATAAGCTGGCTGCTTTATGAGAATCGGGCAAAAAAAATTTTTCTAGCAACATTATCTGAGGTTTGGATTAAAACTTCCAATATTCATTGATACACTTCCATCTAATTAAAAAAATTGCAATCTGCTTAGGTCTCCTGCATGCAAATTAAGTATTTAAGCTAAGCAAAAGTTACCTAAAAACGGAAGAATTTGTTCTTCATTCGCGACGGTAATACTGGAGGTAAAGTTACCGAAACTTGTACGAATTTGTTCCCCGGCCAGGAAGTGGACACCAGGGAAAAAATTACTAAAACCTGTATAAATTTGTTCCCTGGACAACAAAGAGACACAAGGGATAAAGTTATCAAAACTTGGATGAATTTGTTCCCTGGACAACAAATGGACACCAGGGATAAAGTTACCAAAAATTGGATGAAGTTGTTCCCTGGACAACAAATGGACACCAGGGATAAAGTTACCAAAACCTGAATGAATTAGTTCCCCGTCCAAGAAACGGGCACAAGGGATAAAGTAAACAAATTTTAATGAATTTACTCCATGGCCAAGAAATGGACACCGGCGATAAAGTTACCAAAACTTGGATGAATTTGTCCCCCAGACAAGAAACGGACACTACACTCACTGGAGGACGACCGCGTACTGGAAGAGCGTCAGCACCGTCAGGAGGATCGTCATGAACATCCACGTGTCGATGGCCTTCACGTAGCTCGTCATGGGGCTGCTCTGCCTGCCATGGTATAATTTAATAATTTTTCGAGAATTAGATATTCAAGGAAAAGATTACATTCGTCATTCATTCCATGTAAACATAATTCGAGTAGATAATTAAATTTTTAATTGCAACCAATTAAGTAATTGGTTTAAAACTGAGTTTAAAATTAATTTATTATTCAACGGTTTAAATTTAATTAAATTTGATCCGTCGCCGAATTAACTTGACTAATCAATTAATTTGTTTAGTAAATTAAATTACATAATTAATTTGGAGAATTCAAGATTTATAAAACTTAAGATTCAGTGTTAATTGGTTAAAATGTTCTATAATATTAAGCATTGAATTACCTGCTAGCGGCATACATGGAAGACACGGTCAGCAGAGAGGTGATGACCAGCACTGTGCGTCCCGGGATGACATCCGCGGGCCAGAAGAACGAGCACCACGACACTCCCACGAACAGGGCAGACGGGATGTAGTACCCCAGCAGGTGTACCAAGTACCTCCTCTCCAGGTACAACTGCGTGCGCACGCACGGCGACCATTCTGGATTCATTATATTAATTATGATAAATCATAATTCCATACAAGCATAGTGCATAAAAGGTCTAAGTTCGCGTAACATAATATTATTGAAGAGACGATGAGACTAAAACGTGCATCGTAGAGACGATGCACTAAAACTGTTCAGAACTTGCTTTTAACGTTATTTAAGACATTAAATGAGCATTGAATTTAATTTTCAGGAACACGTCCAAGAGGTTCTACATCTCTGGAATTCGAAATCTTCTTAAATCCTCTCACCGTCGTAACCCATGCATGATGAAACAAGTGTTGGAAATTAAACACGAACGACTTTTTTCTGTTTCCCCGTCTAAATAATTTTCTTATCGTAAAACAACAAACACAAAAGAAATCATAAGAAATTTGCGCTGTCATGATCGAGCGACGCTACACGACCTAGAAATTCCTAAGCGTATCACATTTTCACAAAAAGTTTCCATGAATTTGGGTTCGTGAGGAAATTGCTGAATGGTCTTGATCATTGTCGGGCGCGAGAGAATGATTTAAATTATCAGTTACATGATCGTGTACTCAGGTAGTGTTCTAATTTATTGCATATTTGTCGATGTTTCTCAGTTTTTTGACATTCGAAGACAAGGAAAGAGCAGGGTAAATATTGGTATTGGAATGTGATTTTCAATTGAGAATGTGACATATATGAGAAATAAAAATTTAAGTAGTATTTAAATTTCAACCTGCCTGTTTTTTTTTTCAAACTGGGCTAATTATTAACTGGATCATGCAGAGAGGGGATCTGGGTTGACGGGATTCGGAATGATAGAATTATAGATATCATGGTACACGATAATGGGGTTTTCAAAGTTTAAAACGCAAAGATCATCTGTCCCGTCAAAGCAAGGTACACAGACTGGTCTGCGATAAAATAAACAATCGTTTTGGAAGGCTTTTTCAACTGAAGGACAAATTCAGTAGTTTCTATCAATATTTCTCTCTTTCGGCTTTCCGCTTTTCTTTGGATCACTTAGAAAATTATCAGGTTGAGTTCATAGCTTAGAAAGGAGCATTGGATTTTCTTAAATATCAAAAGAATTTCAAATTTGTTTGGTCCGTTACTTGGAGCTTGAAGACTGAAAGTTGTCAATTGATATATCTCCCAATCGGGAAATGAATTGATTTTTTAAAATTGAAAATGTTTTGGCTCTGAATTAAGTTGAGCAAATAAATGAATATAAAGTAATATATATGAATATTAATTATGTAATTAATGTTTAATTAGTTAATAGCTACATGCATACATAGTTAATAGATAGGCTTTATCTATTTTTTAGAATGAATTTCTCCAGCTACACGCGTAATAAATCACGAATAAGTATATGAATCATAGCTTACGAGGTACGCATTTCTCGCAGAAACATCGAGTGTCGTTGATGGGCTTAACTTGGAAGTCGTAGCCTGCGAGCAGCTTCAGTACTTCGTCGTCCAGAGTGACGCTCGAGCTCAGCCACTCGAACTGCATCTCGGTGATGGGGTAAAAATCTGAAAAAAATCAGGGTAATAATCAGTGATGGGTAAAATCTCAAAACAGTCAAGGTAAAAATCAGTGACGGGTTAAAAAATAAAACAATCAGGATAAAATCTGGTGAAAATCTGAAAAATATGGGTAAAAACCTGTGGTATGGTAAAAACTGATAAAATCAGGGTGAAAATAAATGATCGGGTAAAAATCGGCGTGATTGTGATGCTCTGAAGACGAAACTCATTCGTGGCATACACGGGTCAAATTGCGGTTTTGACGTGAGTTGTGGGCAAACAAAACTAAATGAAATTTTTCGATAATATTTTATCAAAAATATTTATATTTTATTTATTATTACTAGCTTGAAAATTTTTTGTTACACTAACGAAAATTTTATGGTTACGGTAAAATGAGTGTAGCGAAGATGTTCTTCCAACGGGTAAAGCAAAAAATTTATCTTTAGAATTAAAGGTTGATGAAATTTAATTATAGTTCGAAGCTAACATATTATTATTATGACATTAACTAACCATGGTGACATTATTTTGCTTTAATTTACTAAGTCTACCACGTTATACTCACAACTGCCGATGTAAAGTTCGCATTCTTGCTCGTCGAACGGATAGTTTGTGAACATCATTGAACACCCAAGCTCCAACTTCAGCCTGTTGCGAAAATTCAAACAAATCACGTAAGTAGTGCAGATATGTTCGCAATAGCATCGAACTGATCCGGCTAGAATAGGATGAGGTGAAAATTTAGAGATTTTCTGTTACTTTTTCTCGAACTTGGCGGCCGGCGTCCCTAACTACCCAAGGACGAAGTAAAAAAAGTTTCTGGTTACCGAGCTTTGGATCTGCAATTATCATACTAATATCATAACCAATGTGGTTGTGATTTAGATTATGCGACCTCCACTATTTAAACAGAACAAATGCTCAGAAGTAACTTTCTTTTATCTTTAATTTTCTGAAGGTTTCAGCTACATTGAACGATCAACTGTTCAGAGAAGCACAAATTTACTGTCCTGGTGTAGTGAAGATCCCAGAAAAAAAATTCAAGATAGTATTCTCTGAGAATCTAAAAATATATACTCAGTTTCGTTTAAAAAAATATATCATATAATTATGCTATGAGTTTAAATCGTTCGTTCACTTAGGCAATCGTCAAAACTTTCATCAGCATATTTGAGCAAAATTTTAGTTTTCAGTTGGACATATAATTCACAGCTACATACTCGTCTAAATAAGTACTGTCTCGTGAAACCCAGATGAAAAAATGTCCAAAGTGTGGAATAGCCCAAAAATTTTCGATGCGTGTCCCAACACTTTACTTGTTTACTCCGAACTTTCGGAAGAACCAACTGATTAAAATGTTTTCGTCGGCCGAAATTATTTGAATGTTATCGCAGGTCAATGGCTTCCTGTGCTTTCAAATGGTGGATTCGTACGAGCAAACACGTTCACACGGGTGAGATAAAGGACCGAATAGTTATTTTAGTTGGCATATTCAACTCCAAAAAATAGATTACAGCTAGATTTTAATGAAGAGCTCTTACTTGAATTTTTATTTGTGATGCCAGTATGTTTTTTGATATTTCTTCCTATTTTCCTTGCATTATAAAATCATCTGTAGTATGCAATGTTGCCATGCAACTACATTATGAAATTTTTTCTTGAGTTAATTAATAATGAATAATTTAAGTGGCGTATATTGTTGGACTATATTATGAATAATTAAAATTTTGAATCAAAAATTCTCACACCTTCAAATAATACCACGCAATTCACTCACACCATGGAAGTGTAGATCTTATTATTGCTGTAGATCTTGACTCCTTGTACATCCTGTAGGAGGTGAAAGGTCTTGAGGTCTCTCATCCTCCTGAAGAAGGGATCAGGCACCCAAATCTTGCGCAGGACCTGCGTCGACACGGCGATGGAAGTGACCTCGGACTCTCTGTCGTCGCTGCCGTCCTCGGGAGCTATTGTAGATCTCGAGAAATCGCGGCTCACGTTCTGGTGAGGGTAGATCAGCCGAGGGTCCACCCACGTCACGCGCAAGTTCATTTGGAACGTCACGGACTGAACAAGAAAATTAATTCAAATGGTAGGAGTAAAAGGTGAGAATCCATAATTGTTTCTATTGAATTTTAGTAGCCAAGAAAAAATATTACTTTCTATTAAACGAAATGAGAAGTAAAGCATCGACAGTCTTTAAGGACTATCACCAGGAGCCCATCTGATAAAATTGAAGCGATGACACTAAGATAAAAGAAAACTATAATCGGCATAAATCTCTTGTCATGAATATTTTGCTGTGTTTTTATTTAAATTATCATGGTTATAAAATTCATTTGAAACTTGCGAGGGTAATGACGGCTAAATATATATCGTCAGTGACGAATTAAGAAGTGATCTATTCATCTACCCATAGTTCATAGTCAAACTATCTTTTCATTTTTTTCTGAGTACCCCAATAAAGGCAAGTAGATAAAGATAAGCTTCAAAATAGACTTATTTTTCATCCAGGAACGTTCACGTGTAAAGACGATGAAAAGACACGCATGAAGAGACAGTGAAAGCGACAATCTATTCGCGGGAAGTCGGCGGGTGGGCGTCTTTTGTTGCTGCTCCATTAGACGCGTCTTATCTCTGAGGCCTGTGCCTCATAACTCCGGAGTTGCTGCCTCAGCTCACCCCTCCTTACCTTCTCATAGGCTTACTCCCCAGCGTCTTCCCATATCTTCTATAATCTTTGCCCGTACGACATCAATCGAAATAATCACCATTTAGTATACTATACGATTTTACATACATGCTGTCAGACAGGCTTCTAAATAAATCTCCGGATTATTGACAACAAATTTGATAAACCTCTTGGCAAATATTGAATATAGGTATAACCATTCAACTCACGAGCTTACGGCAACAGCATTACGTAGAACTTGCCCTAGGAATAATGAACCTTTACATTACAAGTATACTGTCTCAGTCCTTCACAGGAAGATACAAAATATATGGTATTCGGCAAATACTATTCCACGTTTATACAATCATTAAACGGATATACTGCCATCATAGAAAAAAATCTACTGCCCAAGTGCAAGTCCCGTGCCACTTCACATTGACTGTTCATCGAAAATTTACCTCTGAAATGCATAAAAATTTTTCTATGCAGAAGACTTTCCAGCAACTTAACTTAAAGTCGTATTTTATTAATCGTTAAATTTGCCACATTAAATTTTCTTCGAGTATAAACCGAGGGTCGAATGGGGGTTCCATGCTAAATGTCCTATGGAACGGTAAAATATTTAAATGGAGTTTATTATTATTTTTAGAAATTAGAAATTATTATTCTTTTGCGGGAAACGGGATGACGATATTTGGAATCCCAGTATGAGGGATAGCGTAATTTTTAAATGACAAGTATTATCTAATTCAAGCAGCGGTGGGCTAACTCTTATCTGCAAGCTCAACATATAACAAATTAGCAATCCTTTCGAAATGTTTTGAAGCAAACATTTGTGCCCGGTGAATCCATTTAATTTGCTGGCTTTCCTCGGGGCTTCTATGATGTCTTCAGCTCCTCTGTAATTACATTCTATTTGTTTACTTAGTCTGAAAAAAGCAAGAACTATTTACTCGATAAAAAAAATGCAACTTAATCTGATGAACTTGAATCTGATGAACTTAATCTGATGAAAAATTTTCATCGTTATCTTTGGGGTTCTGAAGCACGATGCAGTAATTGGATAGTTAGAATTCATTGTGATATTTATCGCAGGAATATAAACACAAGAGATCACAATATTGAATGTTGTGGTAATTTATTATTGAAACTGAATCGTTTAACCTTTAATCTCTATAAATGAAGCATTTAAAGTCAGTTACATGCTTGGCTTCTCCGCTATCGAAAAGAGAAAAAATGTCCACGGTAACCCCCATCTTATTTCTTTTACCTCGTTGCATATATGCACATAGAAATTGATTGCAGGTTTCATTGGAGACCAGGAAATTTTTTCTTCTTGACAGTTTTTTTTATTGTTTTTCTCTATTCGGCGAATTAAGTTTTTGATAGGACTTTAAAATTTAAATATCAGGTTTTCAAGGGACATTTTATTTTAATTTGCGATGTTTCGAAAGCAACTACATTCATTATCAAGTATGGAAGGGTTTTGCTACACTTGAATATGAAATTTTGAAATGACATTAATACAAACATATGACATTATGGAAACAGATATGGCATGGATACCAGCAAATAATTTAGTTCAACTCATCGAAAAAACAAGTAAGAAGATTGTTAATAAAAAGCTCGCTCTGGTCTTCAATCAGTCGTGCTTAAATAGAAATTTATCTGCACAACTGACGAATCTCATTGTTCGCTAGATGCTAACTGCACCGAAATTTAAAAAAATAGCAGCGCTATTCGTGTATTATTAGGAGCTACTATTTCCTTCTCTTCTTGATTGTTGTTCATTTAGGGGCCGGCACTATTTGCAAGCCTCTTCTTTTAATCGACATTCCACTGTCTAACAGAAAATTCCGTTAAAATTAATCCTTGCATATATTGAGAACAATGTTATCGACATTGATCCTAACGACTTGTGAACATCTCAAGTCGGCTTAGATGTTCATCTCTTCACAATCAGTTTTCTATACTTTCCATGGCATATATCATTGCTTTAAAAATGCTGATTAAATACATGTCGGTCACGCAAATAATCATGAATGATCGTCCTTTAAAGCGCACTGTAATAGAAATCATGATTGTGGCATTTCTCGACCCAGCATTCCATTTATGCGTTACTTATTGTCGACGAACAGTCAGGCTTGTCTTGAAAGTCGTTGCCTTCCTGGCATGTAGCCCAGGTTTGAGAGCCGCATGCTCGATCGAGCTCGCATGTACGTCTTGCCATGCAAAACGTAAACCACTTGCTTACCGAAGCCTTCGTCGCACAGAAAAAACAAGCGATGTGGCAAAGAGCCTCCCCAGAGCAAATAAGAAAGCCCCAAACCCTTGCGCCACTGACTGGTAGGATAGTTTCTAGGCGAGCTGCCGTAACCCACGAGTGAAATCTATTAAATCTATTGAAATCTATTATTAAATAGCAGCAACGTGCGATAAAGTGAATTATCGAATTGATTTACTTTACTTAGTAACTATACTTCTCCTCCTCATTGATCGCAGGTCAAAATTTAAGGGTGTCAGAACTGCTGTTTTAACCTTACCTCTAGATAAAAGGACACATTGGGGCCCGTATTCTCACGCTAAAACATTATCATTAATTGACAAAAATGCTCATGTATGTTTGTTCAGATAGAAATTACTTTTATATTTTATACTTGGACAAATTAATAAGTTTTGAATGTTTTTTCTTTCTGTAGAAATTACTTCAGATGCATTGCAAGCTTTGGTAATTTTTTTTACCATGTATAAGTTTTATTCAATGGTCTTAATTACTAGTCTCCTTTGTTCGATATGGAATTTTATTTTGCATCAGTTTAACTAACAAGGGTATCTTGCAAAGAATGAAGAGTATTCGCGCAATTCGTCATCAGGGGCGGTGAACACTGTACGTTTTTGAACGTTTTATTTCTCAGTTAGCAGACTGAGTAAAATGATCATGAGGCGGGCATTCCACTGCACTATAAAAATTCTTTATCAATATCGACCGTTGCAGCGGAGCAACAGGAAACTCCAACAGAACGCCACTCTCAATTTTTATATGAGCAGTGAATTGCTTCACTCACTTAGCCTTAACTTTCTTCCTTGTGACATACGCTCTACAAATGGGTTTACTTACTACTTTTTTGACGTAATTAAATCGGAAGAATATACATTTATTCATACACGGTTTTTTTAAATCATTTTTAATGATTTACGAACAACTACTCGATATGTGGCCTCAATACCACTTAAAATTTTTCTTAAAGACATATTCACCTGTAGGCAGAATAGAATTTTTTGGTACAAAATGACTAATAAATAAATTTATAGGAAATTTCCTACCTCTGTATGTATAAAATCATATACATTGGAATAAAAGCATATATTTTACCTAAAATTAAATTTTACATAAAATAAAGTAAATTCCGAGCAAATCACATGTATGCTGACCATGGTTTCCATGTTGACTTGACTGATGCTGTTCATCTTCATGCTGAAGCCGACCACCACGGGCCCGCCGTTGACTTGTTGCGGCCTGAGGTCTTTCTGGTACCCTGGCGGCGTCATGCTAAACGACGAGCCACACACGGCTGACAAGCTGAACATGAAGGTCAAGGAAGAAAAATATATTTAAAATATATATTGTATGTTTTAATACAGTACCGTATCAATTGTTTACTAAAACAGGATAGAATAAACCAGCAATATAATAAAAAAATTTTTGTTCCAGGTGTTCTTTGCCGCCGAATCCTCGGAACAATTAGTACCTTGACCTTGTTGTCTAATACGAGAATGTCTCTATGGTTAGCTAGACTTCGATTTTTTCAGCATTTTTTAATATGTCTTGAAAAACTAGTGCAGTGTTCGATAAAAACTTACATCACTGAAAAAAGCTCTTTTTCGCATTTGTGTTTTAATACAGATGGTGTAATAAGTACAGAGAAATGTGGAAATCACAACAAATACAAAAAGAAATGCATTGATTGATTCAATACATATTCATCAGATCCGACGTGCACCGCATACCTATAACATTATTTATGCATGTTATTATCCATTTGCTACAAATAAAAATGTTGCTTGATTAAACATACACGAAGGGACGAAAACAATCTATAATGGAAGACATTCCAGACGTTAATTTATTTATTAATTAATGATCAGACGCTAGTATATTGATTTCACTCAGTACTAGTCCCAGCTAGTACAACTCCTGTCAGTCTAGTAATAGAACCAGCTACGAAAACTAAAGTCCAACTGATACAGGTACCACCTAGTACAACTCTAGTCCAACTTGTATTAGCAGCTGTTTTCATAACTTTGGTCTCCATAATAATCTTCTCATTCTGCACTCTTCCGTGCACACCAGACATGACATCCGCCCGTATGTGGTGCGATCAACAGTTGCTTAATGTAATCAGCTCGCTATATATGCACGAGGAAATGCGTCATGACTCAACATGATTTATCTATGACAACATTTGCTCACCGTCCCCATCACGAGATGGGAATTATTTATTGCTTCGTTAGTAGCTTGGACTTTTTTTTTTGTCTGGCCAGTAATTTAGGCCGATTTTGAGTAACAGTAGCTCAGTAAATGAGTAGTAAATTACTTTTTTGCTCGTAATTTTCAACAATGTTTTCAAGTGCTGAAGTTTATTATTCAAGTTGAAGTTGAAGTTTATTATTCAATTAAAGTCTTATCATGCAATATTGCATTAAAGTGCAATAATATTTTCTGCATTAACAAAAAGTGCACTAATATATTATATTATTTGCTCTGATTAAAAAAATTAAATATCATATATTTAGTAATTCCAGTCCATACGAGCTTCTTCCTGTCGTCTATTAGTATTATCCCACAAGCGTCAAAATATTTACTCCAAAGCGCAATCTCATAATGTTTACTAAAAAAGTACACCTCTATATGTTTACTCCAAATGACTTCTTTTTAGTTTACTTAAGTCGCCTGTTCGAACTTTTGTTGAGATAGCAGATGACTGGTAAACCGTCTGTCACTGTCGTGTTTTCGTCACTCCGCTGTCGTATCCGTCACTCACAACCTAATATAGATCAATCAAAACTTAGAGATTCGGGCTAAGGCTAGCTAGAGGATCCAAACGGCTTCTTTCCCCTTCAATTACCTTTCTAAATAAATTTCAAATGATATTAATAATGCATTCCGTGTTTTTTATCTCTATCTTTCAATACAAGTAATGGCAGAAGGGAAGGTCAATAGTCTTCAGTGCTTCGTATCATACCCGCGTCCAATTACAACTAACTCAGCTGCTACAACTAGAGCGTTCTGAATTAATTACAAGACTAATTCGACGCGTACTATACTCAAGAGCCTCCGAATGATTGAGATGAACTACATGTTTACTAATGTAGTCCCTAAGCGATCAAGCGGCTTAATCAAGTGGCTTGAGTCCGACGATTGACGCGCGCTTCAATCAACCCCAACCAGGCCTTCAATCTTTTGATCAAAGTCTTTGCCGCATCAGAAATTAGATGACTTAACACTTGTTATTCCCTAGCTATTCCTTGTGGTTGTATTTGGACCTGTTCTTTTGATTTGGGAGGCAAGCAATGGTTTCAAATACTGATTTGGCCTCCGCCCTAAAAATATGCACATCTTTCTAGCAACCAATTTTAACAGTCAAACTTCTATCAATCACCATCAAGCCTCGCGTCAAGCGTCCAATCTCTTTATCAACCCTATAATAATATCATCAGCAGTGTATAATGCATATGTAGAAAAAAATAAAATTAGAATATGTCTTCTACGAAATTTTAGCCGTATTTAATAATTTTATTCCAATAAAACTTAATTATTCAACCCAGCGATTCAACATTTTTCTAAAACAATTCGTGTTTGCAAATTAGATTCGATTAAATACTGAATATTTTTTAATAGACAATATAGCAAATGCTAACGAGTATTCATTACTATGAGATGCAGTAAAAATTCGGAAGAAAGGAATTTATTTTAATCTCGGACCCTGAATATTTGAGCTTCTTTTCTCAGGCCTCATTCCGCGGAAAAAAATCGTGGCAAGTAACGTTTCCGCAGAAAAATTCTGCGGATGCAAGCCGGAGCTTTACTCCAAATTGATGACCCGGATTTTCTAAGCAAAACGTTTAGCTGGCCGGACAGAATATGTGCTTTTCACGTCGAACAGGGAGCTGTGCGACGTAATTTGTGCACACATTTTGGATAAGAAATAGCGACTTCCTGTTGAGATGAAGTAGACAAAATTTATGCTCTGCTACATGCCGTCGCAGCCGCGATAACAGCACGTGAATAACTCGGCAGCTCGACGCTGCTAAACTTTGAATATGTGCCTGAATCCTTGGTTTTATGGCCCTCACGATGGCACAGATATGTTAGATGCAAATTCATGGTAAATTACATCCAAATTCTAATGGTGATTATTTTTCGTCAAGATTTACATTTGGAATCCTATAAAAAGTAACACTAACTTCTTCAAAACCACCCGCTTATCGCAGCCTAATTTTTTAAACGAATTTGTCGTAAGAAATGAAGTCTTGGCCCGTTGAATATTCCAGTTGCTGATTTATGAACCTCAGTAGTCCATTTGTGAAGCTTTATGAACACTCTCAAATCAAGAGCTCATGTATGAATTTAACCTTCAAAATCATGAATAAAACTTGTTTCTGCGTTGGTAAGGTTCATTTTTCCTGAGTAAGTCATCAACATCAGAGACAGCGATAAATCAGTACATACAGAAATTCGATGTCTAAAAACATCTTGTTATTGTTTATCACTTGAACAAAACTTTGAACGGTAATGAAGATCATTAAGAAGTTCAAAATATGACCTAAGAAATGAAGAATAATAGGATTTTTAATTCGAATGTTGCATGATAACAATGTTTAAAATTCATTCTGTAATCTCAAAAAGACACGATACCCGCAGAACGAAATTGCTAAAAACGACAAAATGTTACGATTGTTGCACTTATGTGATGAGTCCTGCCGTTTGGAGTGCTAGGAAAACTATAGTGAGCTGTTTTTGCAGTTCCAATCTATGACAGCGAACTGGCAGTATTTTAACATTTCAACTTTTGGGCACAATATCAGCTTAAATGATATGCAATATATTCTATATTATCTAACGTGCACGTAGAAAATTCTACAAAAAATCATAGGTATTATGTTAGTAATTACAAGAGGATCTCACCTCATTAGCAGGAGTGGTGCGGCGCTCAGCCATGCAGGCGTGATCAGCGCCAAGCGACCTCTGGGAGCCATTCTGTCGATCGTGAATCGACCGCAATTTACTTTCGCGATGAATCGATTTTTGTTGCTAAGTCGGTCATGGAATAAAACTGGTAGTGCCTCGACGGTGTAATTATAGGTCTATTTCAAGAATTTAACCTGCAAATTTACTATCATTTTGTTTGAAATGAGAAATGTTCTTCAGCTTTACATCGTTGTTCTTGACTAGTTGATTCAAATTCACTCTGTGATGTCGATCTTGAAATTTACGTACAGAATATATTAGAAGTAAAGGTTTTATCAACGACTGTACAGGATGGTTTTCTAGAGGTTAGCATTGATAGCAAAGTTCCCAATGGGGTTTGGTAATCGCATGTTTTGTAAAAAAATCAATGAATGTTTTCGATTTTTTTAAATTAATTCATAAATAACCGGCAACTCGTACACCTACCACTCGTACGGTTGCTATGTATAAAAAGAAAATACAATGGTAAATCTGATGGCTTTATGCCATATGCATAAGGAGAAAAATGATTTAAGTGCTTGTATAAAACAATATTTGGTTCGAGATAGAACATATAAACAAATAATTTCTGTTTTGAAGTGGGACGCTCGAATACTCGAAGCAGCCAATATTTGCGGATGAACGGCTGCCCTCCTCTTAACGTGATCCTCTTCACAAACTTTACTTTGGGGATTTATTATGTAGCGACAAGCTCTGAGATTTTAGCGACAAGCTCTGAGAATTTCTTTCTTCAATAATTTAGATGCGTGGAAAATTTAATACCGTTGGTTTATTGTGGCAAAGTTTCATGCTGAACTATGGGGAGACGAGGCTATAGAGAAGTTTTGATCCCTAACCATTGAGGCTCTGATGATACAACTTTTAGGAAGCTTGAAATCATAAAGTCAACACCAAAGCTTAATTTTCACCTAATTTATAACTGAAATTTCAGGCTATGCTTCAGTTTTGCCCCGCTTTAGTCCATAAACGGAAATTTGAATTGATGTGACTCAAGTAATCAATAATTCAACTGAAATGCTGGATTTAACTCCTTACTGCATGACACCATTTTTCTCAGATAAAGCATAAAGGTTATTTTTATTTTAATTCGGCTGCAGACATTAACAGACGTTTGTTTGTATGAAACAAATAATAAGTAAATCATTCTTCGTTTGCATAGTTGAAAAAAGTAAATTAATGCACTACAACTAATTTTATGTATCGTTGCAACTTAGTGTTGAGACTAAAACATCCTTCAATGAAAAAAAATTTCTAATAATGATTTTAAACATGATTGAAACCATGTGAATATTCTCGCTATATATAACCGAAAACTTGTGATGCGAGGAATGATTTCGAAATTATTTAACCTCAAGTTCAATGAACCGCAGCAACAATGATGACATGCTGCTGAGTATAAAGGCAAGGGTCGCTTAATCCATTGATTTGAGTGACTAATGAATTGATGGGACAAAGATTAAGCGAACTGTTCATAACGTTAAACTCTTAAGCGGATAAGACCTCTAGATGTTATTTCAAGAAATAAAAATATGAATAAAATGGAATTAGTTCACGGTAATTAAACATAAGTAACTAAAAACAGATTTACTAATTTATAGCTGCTCGATCAATTTCGGAACGTTTTCATGCTCCTCAAGCACTCAAGGCATCACCAAGAGCGATGCACGGTAAGGAGAGACAACTCTTACGCAGCAACAGCGTAATTACCGTCACTTCAAAGATAGCAGAAGAGGAGTGAAGCGTCAGTTTTTTTGCGAATGATGACAAGACTCGTGCCAAGAAATGCTACGAAGAACATCTGTAAGCAACGACGCCTGCCCTGCGGTTCTAGGAAAATCTTTAAAGAATTTGAAGTTTTGTGTCAATCACATGTTATAATCACTATCAGAAATTCAGTATTCCGGACCGTCTAACGACAAAAGTGTAATAAAAGCTTCTCTTTTAATAAAAATATTTTTTATCAAGAATGTAAAAATGTCTCAAATCACTACGCTTGAAATTGATTACGATTAAAGCGCACACCGAAACGGTTCGCATTGTAGACGAGAGCTAACGTTACCTATAAACTCTTTTGTTATAATCAATGATTTCAGTTTAGTCCACATAAATTCCAGGTAGAAATTAGCGTCGCTCAATTAATGAGCTCTCATGGTACACCTCATGCATAGTGCGAGGTAAAAACAGAAAAATATCTACAAATAATAATAAATAATAAACTCTTATAATGGTTTGAATCATATGGCAGTGAGGATGTATTATCAGTAAGAAGAAGTGCTCAGTTAAATTCAATACTCTAACACTCTTCTTCAAATTCATGAAACGTAGAAAGATTTAATGGATAGAAATGGAGGAAACAAAATTTGTTTTCGATCATTCCATTAAAATCCTGTTTTCAGTACATTTCGAAACTAAAGCATAAATGTCCAAACATTCGTTAATCCAATTTCTCATAACGCAACACTTTCACGGGTCAAGCAGCAGTTTAGTTGTACATAAAATGATCGTGTACTGCAGATAGCCTTGCTTTACAAGCGCCGAGGCGCTAAACAGCGACAAAAAACTTTAGGGATGGAAAACTGTTGATTACTTTAATATTCCTTGCTAAAATCAACCAAGTTGCAGGTTGAACCAAAAAATTATTTCATGCATAGTAATTTATGCTTATGTGGATTCACTGCGGCAAGACTGCGGCTTTGTTAGCGCAGAGTTAGGATAATTGATTTGAAAATCGTTGAGATTAGTTTGAATTATTAAAATTTGACCATTTTTACCGTGGATGGAACAATGCGGACAAAAAACATAACGGACCTAGAGAAACACCAAAATGTACATTAGATTTAAACGAATAACAATATATGGGGAATGACACTGAAATAACACTTACTGAAGATATGAAAATTATTTTGCATTTAACACTATTCTTGCACTGCTTCTCCTTCCCTACCTTGTATGATTCTCTCGCTCGTTCCTATATGGCTTACCACTGTTACGCATGTATCACTGAATCGGTCACTCATTCAGTCATTCACCGTGCATCAGTCAATCATTCATTCTGCGTCTGATCACTGATTTGCATCCTTCCCTCACAAGTTCCCTTCTTGTTTTTCTTTCTGGCTTCTGACCCCTACAGGTTCTCTTATTGCTTCAATATCGTTCATCCATCAATGTGGTTGCTGATTCCGATCTTTCGTCAATCTCTGCCCATGCTTCTTTTACACTTAAATGTGTGTCGTACCACTTCCTTGCCTCCAAAATTCACCCGTTTTTAGCGCATTTTCTCATTTATGTAAAAAAAATAACTCACTGCAGTGAGTGAGTTACAGAGAGCGCATTTTCTCGTCGACGAAAACTTGAGGTCGCGGACGGAGGGACAGACGGACAGACCTACAGACAGACAGACAGACAGACAGACAGACAGACAGTCGGACATGGCGAACACAATAGTGCATTTTTTTTTATAAATGAGAAAATGCGCTAAAAAGACGCTATTGTGCTCGTCATGTCCGTCCGTCTGTTTGTCTGTGACATCACGTTGCCGCCGAGTATCCATGATACTCGGCGACGAGAAAATGCTCTCTCTGTCACTCACTGCAGTGAGTACTGTGTTATATTTTTTTATTACACCATAGACTTTTATTTGTCATCCAACTCCTGTGCATCCGTCCCGCTCTCGCAACTCACTTAGACTCGTTCTCATCCCTCTCACTGCCGAGCGCTCACGCCGCTGCCCGCAGCTTCCTCTCACCGCCTGGCAGAGCTCGAGCGCGACTGAGGACAAGCTCGTTGGTCGCCCTCACGCCTAACTGCACGATGTGCGCAGCTGCAGATCATCGGTCAGATATTGAATGCTGTGCGCATTCAATATCTTCATTCAAAGCATTGCAGGTATGAGCTACCAGGCAATCTTGCGTGTTGATGCCATTAGTCTTATGGGTCTAGCAGTGGAGTTGAGCCCTATAATGGATAAATGCAAAAAACTATGCAAGTCCAGAAATTTATTTGAATTAGATACACTAATATCATTGGATGATGAAAGCAATAGTTTCATTATACAATGTTTCAATATTGCTACTTAACTTCCATTAATATAAGCTTTAATCCCGTTGGAATATTGCAAGTCCAAGACATTACGCACGTTGAGTTACATACTTCATGTTATACACACACGTAATAATCATATAGCCGCGGCCACAAGAGTAGTACAAAAATAATCATTGGCTTATCAATTATCATGCAGGTAAACTATGACCACGTGCTACGATTCTATTTGAAAATTTTGAGCATAGAGTTTAGATACCGGCAAATAAGTAATAATTTTTTTTATCATATGGAATCATTGATAAACGCTCCACGGAGCTAAATATTATACTCACACATTCGCATTATAGAGTAAGAATCATGTAATTTTTCATTTGAGCTTTTTATATCCGTTACACAATAGGACAGGAGGCGTTAAACACAAAGCTGATCCGTGAAAAAACGTTTAAATAGTTTAAAAATACAGTTCAAAATATGATTCATATATAGCAAAAGTTACATCCAAAAAGCCTCAACGGCTGACACTTTTCTCCAAAAGTTGTATATTAACCTGTAATAATCAACCTCTAATAGATGTTAGAAGATTTGCATTAAATATTTCATGATCCAAATAGAGTGTGCTCATCGAGCTCATTAAATCACCTGGATAGACTGTCTACGCGGAATATACATAAAAGAATGCCAATAAATACCTCATAGACGCTCTCATGGAGAAGAATTCGGTGTTTTTCGGTGCTTCGGCGCGGATCTTTACATGCCTCCTCGTGGCTCGGCTGCTAATCGGCCTGAGACGGGCCACCCTCTTGGCTGGCTTCCAGAGCTAAGCCGTTCACATCAAATTGCATCCCATGCTTACTCGGAAAGCTAGTGTTTGCTTGATGCCAAGCTTATTGTTGATAGAAAATATGTGAATTCAAAAATGGAATAATTATTTCGACTACGTACAGCGTTTGAGAGGAATGTTTAATAATATGCATTTGTTGGTTGTACAAAATAGCTTAACATTTATGATCATTATCGGGTCGATGCTTGCCAATAAAATCTATTAGGCAGTAACAAAAAATCGAGGAAAATCATCCAATTTTTTTATTGGTCCTATACATATAATATTTACCTGTTTTCAAATTCGAATGAAGTCAATTACTTAGCTTGAAATACATTCTCAAATGCAAACTTTTTAAACGTTAACTAACGACGGATATAAAAT